TCCTCACTGGGCACACGGACGCTTCTTGGGCTGACGACCAGGCTACGCAGCGGTCGTCACAGGGTTACACCTTCAGCCTTGGTTCCGGCTCTGTTTCGTGGCGGGCTACCCGCTCGTCTTCTGTCCTCGGCTCTAGTTGTGAGGCTGAGATCTACGCCGGGGCTATGGCTGCCCAAGAGCTTCGCTGGCTCACCTACCTGCTGACCGACCTTGGAGAGCCACCTCGTTCTCCTCCAGTCCTGTACGTAGACAACAAGGCCATGCTGGCCTTGTGTCGAGAGCAGCGACTGGAGCACAGGACAAAGCACATTTCTCTCCCCTACTTTCTTGCTCGTGAGCTACAGCAGCGTGGACAGTTGCGACTTGCGTGCGTGGCCTCTGAGGCCAACACTGCTGATGTCTTCACCAAGGCACTTGCGCCTTGTGATCATCAGCGCTGCTGCACGCATCTGGGTCTTGTGCCTGTCTTTCCTCACTTGCTCACTTCTTGACCTTGCTTGTACCTTCTCCTATATATACTCTTGCTCTTGCTTGCTTGACTCTTATATATCCCTATATATGATCTTGCATGTGAACTGGCCTTCTGGCCTTTGAACTTGTGCTCGTTATGTGTGGTGACTTTGTGATCCACCCTGAGCTTTGCTTTGCTTTGCTTGACTGGTCTTGTGATCCCTTGTTCTCCCCCACTATGCCCATGGGGGTGTGTCAGAACATTATGGCTTACTTATTTGTGTAGGCTATAGTGGGGTATCCCATAGGGGGTACAACCCAATTAGGGTTTCCTATTTGTACTCACTTCGTTCATAGTCATTTCATTCTCGTTCTATTCTTCTCACACACTCACCATCGACAGACGGAGGACAGATAGACTCAGACTCACCAACAAGACTAGCAGCGTAATCTAGACGACACCGAGCATCAAAGTCGACAAGCTCAGCAACTAAGGCAGACGCAGCAGTGGACTCAAAAGAAGGGTCAGTGACAACATTAGCCAGGAGACGCGTGAGAGTAGGACTGGCAGCACAAAGAGAGTAAGACTCAGGGTCTGCAAGAGTAGGAAGAGAGGACTCTGGAGGAGACGGCAACGGGACACGCAGAGGAGCAGTGGAAGGACGCAGTTCCATCTGGTGTGTGCCGGGGACCCCAGGAGGACGCGGACGCAGAGCACGACCACTAGTGCGAGCAGCACGAACAGGCGACGCAGGACGAGACGAAGGCTCACGACGCTCAGCAAGACCTCCAGTAGGACCAGTGTAGGGAGAAGGAGCAGGCAGGGGGGAGGCAGGCTGTAACTGTGACTGCGACTGGACAGGCTGTGGACACTCTAAAGGAGGAGCAGCACCAGTAGAGGGCGGGAGACCAAGAACCTGCTCAAGGAGCGAAACGAAGTACGGCCGCGGCCGCGCAGCGCCTCCAGAACCAGCAGGGACAGCACCGGTACTCCTAGTAGCAGCACCAGCGCCAGTAGCACCTCCAGCTCCAACAGCTCCAACTCCAGCACCCTCAGAAGTACCAGCGCCAGTAGAACCACCAGCGCCAACACCCCCAGCAGCTCCAGCTCCAGCAGCACCAATTCCAGCAGGACCGGCAGCTCCAGTACCGCCAGCAGCTCCAGAAGGACCAACTCCAGCAGCCGCAGCAGCACCCCTAGTCCCAGCAGCTCCAGTACCGCCAGTACGAGCACCTCCGGGACCAGCAGCAACAGTATTGCCTCCAGCTCCAGCACCACGGCTCCAGCGCCGGGCAAACCACTCGCGCAGCTCCTGCGGAGAGAGTGGCTCCCGCCGTGACGAAGCACCACGAGAGGCCACACGAGCAGACCCAACACCCCCAGGCTCCGTACCCCCAGGCTCAGCACCCCCAGGCTCAGCACCCCTAGGCTCAGCACCCCCAGAGTCAGCACCCCCAGGCTTAGCACCCCCAGGCTCAGCACCCCCAGGCTCCGCACCCCTGGACTTAGCACCCCCAAGGTTTAGGGTTGTCCTGTAGATCAGCTCCACTCACCAAGTTCGTAGAGAACGAGGGGAGGTAGAGACCTGAAAGGGTGCCAGAGGGGGCTGTCGGGCACGGTAAGACAGTGGAGAAGCTAGCAAGGACAGGACCCCCAGAGGGGTCCGCCAGGGAGACCGCAATCGGCCGACTAAGCGGCATAAGCGTGGTGCGGTCTCGAAAGAAGGAGCGGGAAGCACCCGAGTCAAGGGTGAAGGTGTGTAAGGCCTGAGCCGACGTAGTACCTGAGAGAGCACCATAAACCATTCCTCATTCTTTCACATGAACTAGCAAGAAGATGGGTGCAAGTAAGAAAACCTAGCAGTGTTGTACCCCATATAGTCTACCCCATTACAGCCTACACAGACTATGTCATATATGTTTGACAACCCCTGCTAGTACAGGGTCGAGACGGGCCCAAACGCTAAAACCACCTGTAGGCTCATCGACCACTCAGCTCAGCGCTGCTTTGGTCATCTCGACGACCTCTTTCGCCATGGCCACAGACCCGAGTCTGTCCTCCCGCGTTGGGCGGTTCCGTTTGCTCGTGGCCTTTGGGTGTTTGATATGTCCAAGGATGATGTTTTGTGAATCATGTATTTTGTTGTTGACTATTGTGCTGATGGATATATTTGCTCGCGTGTTCCTACACTTTGATCTTTGCCTGTTGCTAGTTTAGGTGCTTGTGTTTCTAGTGTATGTGCTTGTGTAGTTACTAGCCCAAGTATGCCTACGGGTGACGCATCTTTGTCCTTCACACTTGAATCTAGCCTGTCCTAGTGCTTCTTCCGTGACCGCACTACTGTCACACCGCTTTCTGCATCAGTCTCTGTTGCCCTAGCTGATCCTAATTCTTGACCAACAGTCATTCGCAGTATTACCACCCTCATGAGCCTGGCTGTCCCTTCTGGCTCCCTTACTGGCCTTCACATCCCTTTGTTCTCGAAGAAATTGGTGGTTATTGGAAACCTTCAGGACCATGGGGTCATAAACACTTTCCCTGCACATGCGAGGTTGCGACATGTACGGACGTTGCTACCGAGTCATGTAATGCCACGTTTTCCCAAGAGCCCCGCTCAGGTCTCTTCTCACTACACACTATGTCTCCCCAAGTAGCTGCATCTGGTCAGGTTGCTGCGTCGTGCTCCTGTTGGTCATTCACCAACCCGTCAGACCTATGGCACCACCGTCTTGGTCATCCTTCACTTCTCCGACTCCTTCACATGTTTAGGCACAGTCTTGACTCAAGTCTCCCGTCCTTACTTCCGACGCTTCTTCCATCACATGCGCTGCCGTGAACTCCTTGTGTCGAGGGTAGGTTGCGCGCCGCCCCTTCTCCTCTTTGCGCCAGCCACCGCGCCACTCCAGACTTTTGCACCTGGCGTCTGGGGCCCCGCCCGAGTCACTAGGTTGGAGCAGGAGCGCTTCTTCCTGGTGGTGTTTGACAACGTTTCTTGCTACACCACGGTATTCCCCTTGCAGCAGAAGTCCGTCGTGTCTAATGCCATGATCCCGTAGTTGCCAGTTATATTTGCCAGACTAGTTACCCCCTTCTGCCCCCAACTTCTCTGCGCCTGTACGAAGGCGCGAAAATGGCGCAAAAATACCAATGGTCAGCACTTCAAAACCTGAACTTGTTCTCAGAGGCTCAGTTCCAACATCGTCTCCATGTCCTGTGTCTCCACTCCGACTGCATGTGTGAGTTTCGTTGTTGCGTGCTTGCCGGGTTTCGTTGCGACCAGGGCATCAACCAGTTTTGGACGCTTCCGGACTCACCACACCATAATGGGGTTGCTGAGCACCGCATAGGCTTGGCCATAATAAGCCCCCGCACGTCCATGGTCCATGCCCGTGTGCCCCAGTTTCTATGGCCCTACGCGGTTCGATACGCCGCACATCAGCTGAACCTCTGGCCACGTGTTTCTTGCCTGGAGGTTTCACCGACCGGTCTCTAGACTGGTTCCCCTGGTGTTGCATCGGATTTCCGTGTCTGGGGCTCCATTGCGCATGTTCGCGATCCCACTCCCGGTTGATGCCCCTGACTCCATGTTGACGCTGACTCCCGTGACATCACATTTGACGAGTCCGTGTCCTTCTACACCCGTTATCCCCACCCTTCTCTCTTGGCCCTCCCCCCTCCCCTCTTCCTCACTCCCACTCCTCCTCCTAAGACTGTGCTCCTCCGTTACGTCCACCGTACCCAAGTCCTGCCCCGTCGGGTGTGTCTCACGCTACCTCTCTTCCCTGGGTAGCACGTCCGCAGCCTTTGGTACTATCGCTTCAGGCCGCAGTCGACTCTGGGGGTGTTGACACCCGAGGTAATGGTGCTGGAGGTGCTGGCTCTGGGGGTGCTTGAGCTGGAGGTGCTGGAGCTGGGGGTGCCGGGGCTGGAGGTACTGGCACTGGAGGTGCTGGTTCTAGGGATACTGGAGCTGGAGGTGCTGTAGTCCCCTTTTCTGACTCTCTCCCTCAGGATCGACACTGCCATGCTCTCTGCAGCCCTCGTCGCCCTCCTCCACTCCACCTCTCCCTCTCCCTCCTCTTCCCAAACATGACCCTTGGGATTGCCGCCGGGCTTCTCGCCGTCTACTCCAACAGTTTGCTGCCAGCTGTCGCCCTGCATACTGCTTACAATGAATCTGCCCTCCTCTACTCCCTCATGACCACGGCTTCTGCTTCTGTTAAGCATGCGAAGAGTTACATGTTTGCTTCATGTTCTTCCATCGTAATACTGTATTTACTCGGATCCCCGAACAGTGGGCCAATATCATCTGGGCTCATGTGTGCTCAACAAACAGCTTCACTATTCAGGCGAAGACAGTTCCAGTACTCCCTAGATAAAATCTGTTAAACTCGTAAAAAACTGACAGAATGCGTACTTAGCGATGACTCTGATTTTTGCATCCCACCCACCGCATCTTTTGCTCGAGTAAACAAGCGGCAACTGCCAGCAGAACCTCTACAGTGGGTGGCATCCTCCCTTCCAGTCACGAATGAATATTCCTTTACAGTCACACAGGGGGCCTCTCCAGGGCAATCCAGCCAAACGCCCCTCTTCTGAAATCCTTGAGCACTCTGTGCGCTGCCTGGTTCACATCCCCCATGCACAGCCGGTCTGCCAGTGCCTCTAAGAACCTGCAGCGAGAGGAGGGAAAGGTAGAGAGTGAGAGCATGAAGGATGTGAAGGGCTCCAGAGCAGAGCAGCATGTGGGCTGCCTGCCTCCTGGTTCACAACCCCCAAGCACAGCCGGTCTGCCAGTGCCTCCAGGAACCTGCATTGAGGTGCGGAGGGAAGAGGTGGGAGAAGGAATGAGTCGAAGGGTATCGTGTGCGAGTGCTTCGGAATAGAAAAGCTGCTCTCGAGGCACATGGCATCCCCCATGCCAGCCGACCTACCAGTACAGTCTGCTACTACATACAAGCACCTGCGACAGGGGGAGTATGAAAGGTGCAGAACGGGAGGATGAAGCAGAGGAGGCAGGCCGGATGTGACTCAGAGTGGCAACGAATCCAAGAATTCGACAAACATAGTGTAAGAGTCACTTTTAGAGTTTATTAAAAGTGTTACTATCCAGTGCTCATTGTTGACACTATCCAGCGGAGAGAGGAGGCAGAACATACTTGCTCAGCACTCTGCCGTGCACGCACTCTCCAGTTACTTCTGAGGGCAGTTACAGCTTCGATTGTGAACTACCTCGTAAGTGCTCAGGACACCCAAGTGAACTGTGTTCGCTGTTTGCCTTGTTTTGTGTGTGTGTGTGTGTGTGTGTGTGTGTGTGTGTGTGTGTGTGTGTGTGTGTGTTTGTGTGTGTGTGTGTGTGTGTTTGTGTGTGTGTGTGTGTGTGTGTGTGGTGGATCTCATGCAATGCAATGCAAAGCAAGGAGCTTACTCTTCGCCGGATAAACTGTCCGCTTTGATCTTGTACCGGTTGGACAACACATGGGCCCCTGCAGAGCACACAAGCAAGGAGACAGATGGGCACAAAGAGGGCTCGACTTTTGAGGCGCCCTGAAAGCACAGGGGGGCCTGCAGAGCAGACAAGCAATGAGAATGGTTTTTGAGTCAACTCAATAGTCATCTAACATCGGTTCGAAAGGTGGCCAACAGGAGAGCCTGCTACAAGCATCCCCTCACCAGCAGTGGAGAGTCGTTTCAGAAGCTCCACAACAACTGCGGCCACGCCAGCGACAGCATAGGCCGCCTCACCGATGTCGTTTCACATGGCCAGCCGTGCCGCTGCTGCCTGGTGCAACGGCAGTGGGCAGCAGCAGCAGATGCACAGCCTGGCCTTTGAAACGCTCTACAAGCAAGCTCTCACCAGCAGTAGGGAGTCTCTTGAGCACCTCCACGAGAATGGCGGCCACACCAGCAACAGCATAAGCCGCTTCACCAATGTCGTTGCACATGGCCAGCCGTGTTGCTGCTGCCTGGTCCGCTATTATCACCAGCTGTGGGTGAGCAAACCGTTCCCTTCAGCTGATGGAGATGGATGGCTTTTGAAACGCCACAAAATTCTGCTAGAAGAAAGGCTCACCAGCAGTGGGCAATCTCTTCAGAAGCTCCACGAGAATGGCGGCCACACCAGCGACAGCATAAGCCGCTTCACCAATGTCGTTGCACATGGCCAGCCGTGCCGCTGCTGCCTGGTCTGCTATCCTCGCCGGCAGCACTCCCGGTGCGTCTAGGAGATCCAAGCCCTCTCCCAGCCGCACCCACCTGTTGGACGGGAGTGGATTGAAGAGGAGGGGACCGGAGCAGGGGAAAAGGAGGGACGAATTCATGAAAGGGGTTTCATCCCAATTGGCTGGCAGCATCCCAGGCGCGTCTAGCAGGGGTTTCATTCATCCGGGCCCTTGCCCAGCCGCACCCACCCGTTGGACGACAGTTCAGAGCATTTGAGGGGCACACACAGCGCAGGCAGAGGGCACACCAGTCACAGCAGCAATCAGACGCCTCCCAGTGAAGTTTAGACTGATGTGCAAGGAATTTGAGTTCAGCATTACACCCTGCTCTCTGCCTGCCATACTCATTGCCCTTGGCGTCGACCTTCACATCACAGCACTGAGTGCTGGCCTTGCAGCACTGAGTGCTGGCCTTGCAGCACCTCGGACCATAATGACAAAACCCACTTGTGCAATCCACCCTACTTAGATCTACCACTAATCCCAGCTAGACTCGCTGGCGACAGTTTTTGAGTCGACTCAATCCCAGCTAGACTCGCTGGCGACAGTTTTTGAGTCGACTCAATCCCAGCTAGACTCGCTCGCTGGCGACAGTGGGCGTGCCAATAACCCCACTTTCGCTGACTAATCTCACAGTGGGTGTTTACACCTGCGCACTTGTTTGCCTTGAACCTGCCGACTCATGCAAACGATTCTGGGAAAAGCGAAACCGAACCATTTGAATGTGCAGACTCACTTGACCTCTCTGGTGACCCCGGGCCGGGGAGCGCTGGCGACCACTCGGCGGTTAAGCAGACGATTGATGACTGCTGACTTGCCCACGTTGGGGAACCCCACCACCGCCGCCCGCACCTGATGGGAAGGGCAAGGACAGGAGACCAGGGATGGGCAGAGGGCGGAAGTGGGGGAGGAGACGTGGAGGACAGGGGGAGCGGTTGAGCAGACGGCTGATGACTGCTGACTTGCCCACGTTGGGGAACCCCACCACTGCTGCCCGCACCTGTTGCAGGGAGGGAGCAGCATGTAGGGAGAGAGGATGATGGGGGGGGGGGGTGAAGAGAGAGAGTGAAGGGAGTGAGTGAGCAGGCGGTTAATGACGGGTGACTCACTCACCAACGCTGCTCGCACCTGATGCAGGGCGGAAGAGTGCGGGGGCGAGGGAGGAACAAGGAAGGGACGAGGAAGGAAGAGGGAACGGATGAGGGAGGAAAATGGAGGGGAGTGGTTGAATGTACAGCTGAATTGCCCTTGCTTAGGAACAGAAACCCTCTAGGAACGACTTGAAGCATTGAGGAAGCAGTGATGATAGCATCAAGGGTGTTGACTTGAACACACATAGAACACTGCTCACTGATCCAATGCTCATCATCAAAAGGGTGCTGATCCAATGCTCATCATCAAAAGGGTGCTGATCCAATGCTCTTCATCAAAAGGGTGCTGATCCAATGCTCTTCATCAAAAGGGTGCTGATCCAATGCTCTTCATCAAAAGGGTGCTGAACCAATGCTCTTCTCAAAAGGAATGGCGGTGCCATCACAGGAGCTGCGAGACAGACACGACAAGCCTTACCGCCCGCGGGCGGAGCCCTTTGTCTCTTCTGCGAGTGTTGATGGCCTTGCTGACGCTCATGGCCTGGCGAGTGAGCTTCAGAATGCCCTGCAGGGGGTGCGGAAGGGAGAGAGGGCAAGGATGCATAACGGGAATGGAGAGGAGGGGAGAGAGAGTAATTCTGAAATGAGGGGAAAGGGGAAGACTACCGCCTGGGATGAGGTGGGGGAGGGGGAGTAGACGCCATAACGGCCCACCTGGTTCATTAAAAAAAACAAAAAGTTATATAATTTTATCATTTTAAGAAATTCTCAAGAGCTAACTAGGGAGAAAGGCAGCGTTCAGGTGGCAGACGAGAGCGGGACGGCTGTGGGTGGGTGATTGATTGGCTTGAAGAGTGCACAGGGATTTAGCGCTCAATATCAATCTACTGCAGCAGCTGGTCTGACAACCAGGTTTCGCGATGTGCAATCATGACTGCTTTTCTCCTATGCCCTGTCATCCGTGCCATGCCATGCCATGCCATGCCATGCCATGCCATGCCATGCCATGCCATGCCATGCCATGCCATGGCACATACCGGCCCATGCACAACCCATGGCACATACCGACCCATGCACGACCCATGCCACATACCGACCCATGCTGCCCATCAGTGAAGCAAAAGCCAGCAACATCCTGCTGTCCCCCAAAGTACTCCGCCCACGCCTTTCTGTCCCCTGCTGTCACCATGTCCTCGCGATTCAACACCAGCACCTTCGGCTTCCCGCCTATCCACTCGTCCAGCTGCAATTCAGGTGATGGTGAAAAGGGAGGATTGAGATGAGGAGTTCAACCTCCATAGTACTCCACGCACGCCCTCCTGTCCCCGGCTGTCACCATGCCCTCTCGGTTCAGCACGAGCACCTTCAACTACCCGCCAATCCACTCGTCCAGCTGCAGTCAAAATCACGTGATGGGGGTAGGCCCGGGTAGGGGGAGAAGAGGGTATAAGAGTCTAAACCCCATACTACTCCGCCCACGCCCTTCTCACACCGACTGTCACCGGCTGTTGTCATGTCAGCATGTCCTGGCCAGCGTGGCAACGTCCCACCCACCGCAGCGGCTGCTGCTGCTGCTACGAGTCACCTGAGACTGTGGTGTGCTGCAGCTGCAGCACGGTCAACCACAACAGATTCACCTGGAAGTGCGTGCGTTGCGCTCTGGCGCGTTTTTAAGGCGGCTCAGAGACAGACGCATGAACCTGCGGGTGTGTGGTGGCAAGGGGTATTCTGGCGTCCCGCAGCTCAATCACCAGCCACCCACTGCTGCTGCTACATGTCATGCCGCCATGAGATTGTGGTGAGCTGCCGCATGCGGCAACCACAACGACTCACTCACCTGAGTAGGTGACGACGACTCAACAGCGGACTCACCTGCGGGTGCGTGGTGGCGAGGGGTATCCTGGCGTCGCGCACTTCAACCTCCACGTGCACCAACCCACCGCCCAGCCCAACTGCTGCTGCTCCTTGCCACCATGAGATTGTGGTGCGCTGCCGCACGCGGCAACCACGCCAACTCACTTGAGTATGTGCCTCAGATACAGTCTCACCTGCGGGTGCGTGGTGGCGAGCGGTATTCTAGCGTCGCGCACCTCAATCACAACATCCACCCACCGCAGCTGCTCCTTGAGGTCCCTCTCCGCCTTGGCTATGTGCCCCGGGTACCACTGCCACGGGGGGTGACGGTATGCAGAGGATGATACCGTGGTGGCATGGAGGGAATGGGGGAGATGAGAGGGTTGGATGAAGCTGCAGCCGCACCTGCTCCTTGAGGTCCCTCTCCGCCTTGGCTATGTGCCCCGGGTACCACTGCCACGGGGGGTGACGGTATGCAGAGGATGATACCGTGGTGGCATGGAGGGAATGGGGGAGATGAGAGGGTTGGATGAAGCTGCAGCCGCACCTGCTCCTTGAGGTCCCTCTCCGCCTTGGCAATGTGCCCCGGGTACCACTGCCACAGCGAGGGAGGGACGGGGGGGGAGGATTGAAGGTGGGGGGGTGCGATCTGTTTTTTTATCATTGCTTGAGGTCCCTCTCCGCCTTGGCTATGTGCCCCGGATACCACTGCCATTGGGGGTGGCGGTATGGAGGGCGATTGGGGGATGGGAGGGGGTGGGGTGGGGTGGGAAGGGGACAAATTATGAGGCGTCCCAGAAGTCACCCCAAGCCCCTCTCCGCCTTGGCTATGTGCCTAGGGTACCTCTCGAAAGGGAGTGGGGGTCAGTAGGAACATGTCAATGTTGAAAATTCTCAAACCTCGCTATTCTGTTGAAGTTGCTTTCGACAATATCACAGAGGAGGGGAAGGGGGGAGGGGGGTTATTGGAGTTGGAAGGAAGGCAGGACGGGGTCTGGGGAAAGGTATAGGGGTGAGAGTAGCTGGGCGGATGGCGGAAGCATGGAGGAGGGGAGGGTGCGGGAAGTCAGCCAAAGGAGGAGTACGGGGGAGGATCACCACAGGAGATGCAGGTGGAGATGGGGGAGGAAGCAGGGGGGGCATGGTAACACGTGAGTACAGGCGTTCATCATGATCCCCCCCAGCAGTTTTTGGTACAGGCGTTCGCTCCTGCGTGAATACATAAGCGTTCCGAGTCTTATTAGGAGGAATCCTGAGGTGGGCGGCATAGACCTCTCGCGTTCTCACCACGGGTACCGGGTCTAGGGTTTGTGTTCTAGGGTTTGAGGCTCGATGGGCGGAAGAACCAAGGAAATGCGTGCCATGCGGAATGCAGGAACCATTGAAAGCTCCAAGATCCACAGATTCTGAATCTTGCATGCCACCTACGCACAATCAACTCCTCCCCTCTGCCTTTCTCCCCCCCCTTTCCCGTTTCTCCCCCTTGGCCCTCCCTCCTATCCCCGCTACCCTAGCTTCCTGGGTGCCAAATAACTGTGGTTAGGTATCCACTTTCCCGGAGGTTTCTGCCGTTGGTTGTACCTGCACTAGTCGGACTGTCCTAGTCAGGAAGTCCATGTCAGCTGCCACGTCAGCCCATCGTCGCTGCTGCTGATCCAATATCAGCCTATCCGAGGAGCCCACGTCAGCAGAGCCGCTAGGCTCTTTCGCGGTTTCCGATTTCCTCCGCTCTTCCCGTCCATCTTTTGCTCCTGAGTCTGAAACTTGCGCGTGTCTTCCGCTTCTACTTTGCGCGGATTGCGCACCAGAAGCTGCGCGCGTGGCTCCGCGGAGGCGGAGAAAGTCTGGCGCAGGCGGACCGGGGGTGGCGGAAGAGGTGGGAGCCGAGCTGGGTGACGGCACTGAAACAGACACGCGGAATTCGCTGAACCTGGTCGCGAGATTGCGTGACGCAAGACTAACGAAGCCTTGCGAAGAAGTGCGGTAACATGGGCCAAGCGAGGAAACTTCGAGTGTCCCTAAAGATACCGCCTGCTGACTACTAAAGCTGACTGCCATGGCTTGCTGAAATCGTAAGCGACTCTTTTTGGTGCTCTGATGTGCTTATTGCCCTGGACTGAGCATTAGGCGAAAGGAGTTACCGATTTGTAACATGAAGTTCTCAATGCACACAACATGCACTCAATAACCCTATCTAAAACTTCCTAATTTGGAGTAACATGATACTGAAGGGGGCGATAGCGAGCATTGCTTTGTGTGGGGTTCGGATGGAATGTCATGAAATTCAGCGCAAGGTACATCTGTACCTTTTGCCACGTCACGGAGCTGGCAATGGCATTATGACGTGTTCGGCCTCGGGATTGACGGAAGGAACGGCTCTTGTACTGAGCGGCCAACTTTTTTTCATTGGACCGAGGTGAACTGCAATCGTTCCGTTTCGTAACAGCCGAGCGTGTGTCATGAAAGTTCACTTTCTGTCAGGTTAGTCGAGCGCAGAGTACGATGCTGAATCCGGAACGGCTCATTCGTCACGTCACCAGCTTACATGCTACACACACTTTTTATGACACGCCAGCGCGCGTTTCACTCTGGGGGCCGTTCACTTGTGTGCCGAGCCCCACGCATTTCACAATTCACGCCCCTCTGATGTTACCAAGTGCTATGTTTGTATTCAGGCCAACCTCACGTATTGCTGTTAGGCATAATCGGCCGTGATCTTTTGCTGCGTGAAGGCTCCCGCCGACAATGCCGCGTCCTCGTGAGATGACATCGCACGGTTAAGGTCGCACAACGGCGCCATGTCGCACCTGTCGCACGGCAGGGCTGGCCGACGAGGCCCGCACGAACTTTGTCGTGCCCTGCGAGCCCGCTACAGCTGCGCGTCGCGACAGCAGGCACCCACAGAGCCTCCTACAGCTGGCAGGACTGACCGTGGGTTACATACGCGAACCATCCAAGCTATTTCCGGCTCGGCAAAATCCACGCACGCTTCTTCTTCCTCACCAGTTCACGCGAGCCTACTATCCGCTCTCTCAACCCGCCGCAATGTTTGCGCTCGTATTGCGAGCAGGATCGTCCGTCAGAATGGCCGGTCGCGCCGTTTCGCCGCCGGTAACTTCGACCAGCCTCGTCTGTCGACTGCCGTCAGCCAGCCGGCCAGCTACTGGCCATGGGAGAGGGTGCCTTGGGAGCGGAAGGCAGCACCTGCAGCGCCTGTGTTAGTTGCCAGCTCATTCGCCAATCCCTTCGCCAGTCCCTTCGCAGGTTCTTTCGTCAGTGTCTTCGCGAGCCCTTTCGCGAGCACGTTCGCACGTCAGGGCGGCGCTCGCGGGGTGTCGAGCGACACGGACTTGCAGGAGGTGTCGGAGACGCTCGCTATAGTGTCACTCGTTAAGGCGTTCAGAGACAGAGGTCACTACGTCGCACAGCTAGGTAAGAACAACAGGGAATCGATGGAAAAAAAGCCACCACTTCACCATCAATTTGGCTCTACAGTCGACTTGCATCTTGCCAAGCCAAGGCTGGCTCCCTCCCCTCTTTTGCTCTTTCCTTCAACCATGCATGTCCCTTCTCACCTCCCACTCCCACACCACCACATTCCACCCCCCTTCTGCCCTTGGTGGTGTTTTGAGATGTCTCAAAACCCACACCACCACATTCCACCCGCCTTCTGCCCTTGGTGTCCCCCCTCACGTCACGGACCCCGGGCAGACCCCTTGGGGCGGCACCTAGGTCCCCTCAAGGACAACGCTCAGCCGCCCGCAGCTGCTGCTGCTGCAGCAGCTGCCGATTCCTCCTCCTTCACTAAACCAGGCAGCAAGGGCAAGGCGTGGGCGCTAGCTGGGGTGAGCAGGACATCGCAGACTGCAGGTGCTGGTAGGAAGGGAAGCAGTGCTGCTGGCAGCAGTGCCGTCTCGGCTCTGCCCGAGCCTGAGAACGCGCCGGACCTGTTTCGCTTGCTTCGGAACTACCCGGAGCTGGACCTGGGCGCGGTTGGTCTGGCAGGCATCGATGTGAAAAAGAGGTACGGTAGCAAACGCACGCTTAAGAGTATAAATTAGGCTTTAATTGCCCCTAGAAAATAGCCTTCAAATGCAAGCACAACCTGAAAGCTTGATGGCAGGTACTTTCTAGGAGAGCAGCTGAGGTGAGGATCGTGCGGGCGGCACAGCTGTTGTGGACGGTGGACGAGGTGGTGGGGCTGGGCTGCTCACAGCCGCCGCCTTACCTTGCCCTCATCTCATCATCCCACTACCTCGAAACGCACACCTGGCAGGTACTTTCTAGGAGAGCAGCTGAGGATCGTGCGGGCGGCGCAGTTGTTCTGGACGGTGGAGGAGGTGGTGGGGCTGCTTTCAGCCCCTTTTCTTTGCCTTGCTCCACCAATTATCCTACTCCCTCGCAACGCACACCTGGCAGGTACTTCCTGGGAGAGCAGTGGCGCATCGTGTGGGCGACGCGGCTGTTTAGAGAGTAGAGGAGGTGGTGGGGGGCTGCTTACCCCCTCCTTGCATCATCTCTCTTCCCGCCCCTCCCTCGTTACAGGTACTTTCTGGGGGAGCAGCTGCGCATCGTGAGGGCAGCACAGCTGTTCTGGACGGTGGAGGAGGTGGTGGGGCTGCTGCGCAACGCGTACTGCCGCACGAGCACAGTGGAGTGCGCACACCTGGCCAGCAGGCAGCAGAAGCGGTGGGTGCAGGCCGCCATGGAACGGCCCCCCCTGCGCCAGCTCTTCTCACCAACCCAGCAGCGCCACCTGCTGCACCGCCTGCTGTACGCCGGTAAGACCTGGGGTGGGTGGATGAGAACTCGGGTGGGTGAGACCTGGGATGGGTGAAAAACTGGGGTGGGTGGAAACTGGGGTGGGTGAGACCTGGGGTGGGTGAGAGCTGGGGTGGGTGAGAGCTGGGGTGGGTGAGAGCTGGGGTGGGTGAGAGCTGGGGTGGGTGAGAGCTGGGGTGGGTGAAAGCGCATGTGCTGTGCATACTGCTGCATGCGTGTGTGTGAGCAGTGGGACGGGTGAGAGCTGATGCCCTTTGCAAGAGCAAGCAGCCAACTGAAACAATCTGTGAGTGGGAAATGAGTTGAACAGCCTCATGAGTTGAACAGCCTCATGACATGGATGCGGAGAGGTTGCGCTTGCACCCTCATCATCCTTGCCCATGCAACTTTTGAGGCGCCTCAAAAGCACCCTCATCATCCTTGCCCATGCAACCCTCCACGCCCATCCCCTCCCTCCCCACGCAGGCGCGGTAGAGCGTTTCCTCATGCGGGTTCCCTTTGGTGAAGCGCTTTGGCATCGAGGGCGGGGAGGCGCTGGTGCCAATCTCTCACCACACAACCCACTACCCCTCCCCACCCACCTCGACCCCTGCTCATCTCCATACAGATGCCTTTGAGCGCTTTCTCGCGCGCAAGTTCCCATCGGTGAAGCGGTTTGGCATCGAGGGCGGGGAGGCGCTGGTGCCGGGGCTGCTGGCTCTGCTGGGGCGGGCGGCTGGCAGCGGCGTTAAGTTTGTCGAGCTGGGCATGGCGCACAGGTGGGTGGGGTGGGGCGCACAGGTGGGTGGTGGGGTGCACAAGTGGGCATGGCGCATAGGTGGGTGGTGGGGTGCACAAGTGGGCATGGCGCATACGTGGGTGGTGGGGTGCACAAGTGGGCATGGCGCATAGGTGGGTGGTGGGGTGCACAAGTGGGCATGGCGCATACGTGGGTGGTGGGGTGCACAAGTGGGCATGGCGCATAGGTGGGTGGTGGGGTGCACAAGTGGGCATGGCGCATAGGTGGGTGGTGGGGTGCACAAGTGGGCATGGCGCATAGGTGGGTGGTGGGGTGCACAAGTGGGCATGGCGCATTGGGGGAGGAGGGGGGATGGTTCTACGGGAGGGAAGTGTAGAGGCTAACTGGGTCGCGGGGAGGCTGTGTCGGAGCCATCACTGCATGGTATCAGTGGGCCGCATCAGGCGGTCATGGCTTGTGCGATTCTCCCTTGTTGACTTTCCCCCCTTCCCCACGCATGCAATGACCGTATGTATGATCTGCAACAAACTGCTGTGCTGTAGGCGTATTTTGAGATGTTTAAGACAATTACGGTGACCCAGTTCCAGTCTACTCGTGCCGTACCCAGCCCTGCCCTCACTCACTCACTCCCCTCGTCCTTCACCTTCCCCCTCTCCGCTTTCCCCGCTTTCCCCACTTCCCCCCTGCGCCCCCTTCCACTTCCACCCACCCACATTCCAAAAGAGGTCGACTGAGTGTGCTGCACGCGGTCCTGGGAAAGCCCCTGAGCTCCATCTTGTCCGAGTTCAAACCACCTGAAGTTTCACCTGAACTCTCAGAGCTGCTGCAAGTGGGCGACGTCAAGTACCACCTGGTATGCGCCCCCAGGTGCCTACCGCCCATTTCTTGTCTTCTGTTTATATATATATATTGCCTTTCTTCTTCCTTTGCTCCTCGTCCAATCACATTTGCAGAAGGTGGCATTCAACATTGTGTTTGCCGTACTTCATAGTTTCCTCACACTTTGCTTGTCCAACGTGGCATTGTGTGATGCGGCATAGTGGAAAATGGTAATGTGTGGATTGGCATTATGTGAATCTGCATTGTCTGACATGGCATGGCACTGTCCCGCATGACATTGTTTACACACCATTGTGTTTCTTCTTGCATTGCATGCATATGCATTCTGTGGCATCACATCACATCACATCACATCACATCACATCACATCACATCACATCACATCACATCACATCACATCACATCACATCACATCACATCACATCACATCACATCACATCACATCACATCACATCACATCACATAACATCACATCACATCACATCACATCACATCACATCACATCACATCACATCACATCACATCACATCGCATCGCATCCCACCGCATCGCATCGCATCGGATCACATGGCAGGGTACCCGTTCCACACTCGAGTTTGAAAGCAACCAGGTGAGCACAGTTTCTTTGAAGCCAGATGCCCTCACGGCCTTTCCCCCCTTCCTCCCCCCACCACACCACACCACACCACACCACAGTGCAGCGCAACACAGCACAGCACAGCACAGCGCAGCACAGCACAGTACAGCACAGCGCAGCACAGCACAGCACAGCACAGCACAGCACAGCACAGCACAGCACAGCACAGCACAGCACAGCACAGCACAGCACAGCACAGCACAGCACAGCACAGCACAGCACAGCACAGCGCAGCGCAGCACAGCACAGCACAGCGCAGCGCAGCGCAGCACAGCACAGTACAGCACAGTACAGCACAGTACAGCACAGCACAGCACAGTACAGCACAGTACAGCACAGCACAGCACAACACGAAACATACTCATCTTACTCTTGCCCTTGCTCCCTAACCTGTCGCCTCTGCTCTCCATCTGCCTCGAATTTCTCACTCTTCTAGCACCCCTGTTGCACGCTCGCATGTGCTGTGTCCTGGTGTTCCCCCTCTCTCTCCTGTTGACCTTGGTTTCCTGTTGACCTTGGTTTCCTGTTGACCTTGGTTTCCTGTTGACCTTGGTTTCCTGTTGACCTTGGTTTCCTGTTGACCTTGGTTTCCTGTTGACCTTGGTTTCCTGTTGACCAAGGTTCAAAATTTCGGTTGGGGTAAAATACGCTCCGTTTACGCTGTTTTTTCAAAATTTCGGCCGTTTTTTTGTTGGAGATTTTTGTGCCAAAAAAAAAAAAAAAAACAGAAAGGGTTCATAGATGATTCCAGAACAGGGCAGCATACAAACAGAAAGTAACATGCTAAAAACTAGTCAGAAATGAGCAAACACAGTCAGGTCCCTCCTCCTTCCTCCTAACTACCTACTCCTACTCCTTCTACCCCCTCTTACCTAGTCCTTACCCTTCAGCCCCCTCCTCTGATCTAGTCCTTACCCTTCAGCCCCCTCCTCTGATCTAGTCTTTACCCTTCAGCCCCCTCCTCTGATTTAGTCCTTACCCTTCAGCCCCCTCCTCTGATCTAGTCTTTACCCTTCAGCCCCCTCCTCTGATCTAGTCCTTACCCTTCAGCCCCCTCCACTTACCGATAAGTTATCCTTCAGCCCCCTCCTCCTACTTAGTCCTTATCCTTCAGGCCCCTCCTCCCCTACCTAGTCCTAATTCTCCTCCTCTTCCTCATCCTCCTCGTCATCCTCCTCCTCCCCGCTACTCCCGTCGCTACAATCCCACGCATTCACCCCCTTGTTCTTCCGCTTGGTTGGTTCATCCGGACCACTGTCATCAGCACTGCTCCCATCCTCCGCCTCTTCTTCCTCTTCCTCACAAACCTTCTCCTTCCCCTTGCGGGACCCGCTGCCCTTGGAAGCACTCTTCTTCTTCTTCAGATTTGCGCGCTTCCTTTTGGTCACCCGCTTGCCAATGTTCCCGAAGGTGTCCCAGTCAATGGTACACGGCTCCCCCCCCGCCTCCTCCTCCTCATCCACCTCCGCCTCCACCGGAAGAGAAAGAAGCACGCTGGTGCTGCCCTCCTGCAGCGAACCATTGCTCAGCTCGCTGTAGAGCTTAGCACGGGCCTTTGTTTTTTTGTCATAGGACTCCCGAGCTCGCCGGCCAAATGCCACGAATGCCACGTCCATCATGGACGTGGCATTCAGCCGGTTGCGGTCCCGCCTTTGGACCCTTGCGAGAGCGGACCAATACCGCTCGACCTCGGATGAAGTCACGGGCTGGGAGAGCAACATCACCGCAACCTTTTGCAAAGCACGAACCTCACCCCCATACAGCGCCCACCACTCAGCCGCGGAGAGCCTCCCGCTCTCCACCAAGATGGTGGCAGCCCACCGCGCATCCACAGACCCCAACTTCCCCTCTCCCTTGTGAAAAGCGGCTAGTTGCACCGCTAGCATCGTCCGCATCTCAACACTGCCCCCCCTTGCCTTAAACACCTCTTCAGCCCCCGCCCTCAGTTCGGGATCCTCCCGAATCTCGCCTACGTACTGATTCTTCGGGTTTAGAAGCCACCCCAAGGCGTGGAGGGGGTTGTGCAGCTGTCCGTCCCATCGGTTGGCTATGATAGCCTTAAACGCAGCAAGAAACGCGGCCTTCTCGTTTCCCGGAAGCAAACCGGTTTTCTTGGAGAGTTGGGCAGCTGCGCACGCGGTAAGAGCAACAAATTCATGGTGAGTAATAGCGTCGGTGTGGCTGGTGTAGGGTAGGGACAGAATCGTTGAACTTATTGATTCATATGTCTAATACATTGAACTTACCCGTCTTCGTTGCCGCTTCGTTGGTCTTGACCGTAGCCTCAAGCATGAGGCCGTAGACGCTCCCCATCACAAGGGACCGCTGGTCAACGATGCGTAGCACCTTGTAGATGGGCTTCATGAGGCCGAGAATGGCCGTGACGGAGTCCCAAAACGTCTCCTCCATGAGGAGACCACGGATAGCCTGCCCCTCCTCCGTGTTCGCCACCGCCACACTTTTCCACTCCTCACTAATCACCATCTCTTTCAATGTCTTTTTAACCTCAAGGAAACGCTCGATCATGATCACTTGCGTTCCAAAACGAGTAGCACCAGGTCGGACAAGCGCTAGCTTGCTAAACAACTCACAGAAAAGTGTGACGGCCGAGGCACTCCCCTTGACCATCATCACAACCCGATGCACCTGGTTGAGGACCCTCTTCACCGCCTTGACCTTCCCCATATCGTGAAGCATGAGGTCCAAGACGTGGGCCGCACAATTGGTGAAGAAGACTTGCGGGTACTCGTCCTTGAGCAAGGTTGCCGCGCGCTTGTTGTTAGCCGCGTTGTCCATGACGACTTGGACAACGTGGCTGTCCCCCACCTCGCAAATCGCATGTTGGATGAGCTTCGCAAGGTACTCTCCAGTTTTCTTCGCGGTTTTGGAGTCGACGCAGTCCACAATCACCGGCGCGGTGTCGTTTTGGGCGATGACGCAAATCATGCCCCGGCTTTTGAGGCACGTCCAACCGTCCATCGTGAGGGTGCATCCGCTTCTCGGTCAACTCTCTTTGATTGGCTTGATGAGCTCCTCCGTGTCGAGCTTCAACTTGACAAGAAGTGGGCCCGCCACCTTGTATGCCGAAGGTAAGGTGTAGGCCTTCCCGAATGCGGCGACTGCATCCACAAACGCTTGCATCGCCTTAGACGAAGACGTCCTAAACGCCAGGTCGTTTTCCGCCACAGCACCCGCCCACAGGTAGTCCAAGCGTCCGCGCGCTGTCACGTCGGCCATCTCCCGAATGTCCCGCTGCCGTGAGCGCCGGGGTAACTGCACCTCCATAGTGGACGTAGACGCTCCATTAGAGCCGTCTTCAAAGGACGAGCGCTCCTCGACGGACGACGCTCGCAGCTGCTTCGCATAATCTGATTCGCAGATCGCTATGTTCTTATGCTTGGAGCTTGGAGTGCCTAAAAGGTGCTCCCCAATTCTAGTTGCGTTTGGGGTTACTGGCAAATGGCAGTGAAGGCACACGCAGCTAGTGATTGTACCATCTTCCGCCGTCTCTTTCTTGACGTGCAGCCAATAGCGTGACTGCGATCGAACCATGGTGCAAGGCTTGGGGTGGCTAATCTGATAGAGAGAGTGCTGGAATAGCCTCTGTGGCTATGAGTTAAGAGGCCATGGACAGAGCCTCTTTGTACTTCGGGAGCTGAAGTGCATTGTCGAGTTGAGGATGAGCAACTCACTTCGGAAGATTGGGCTTGGGCTGCTGTGATTGGTCGCGACTCTCGAGTGGCATGCGCTTTGCGACACACCCCGCATGCGCGAAACATTTTCGTTTCTAGCGCGAAAATTTTACAAATTTAACGAAGCGGGTAATGTCTTCGGTTCGCGATCGCGAAATGCTGCATTCGGGGCGACTCGACCAACACTGTAGGGGTGTTCTGATTGGTCGCGCTTTGCATTAGCATTGCGCGAAAATTACGACACCCTCTGTATGCGAGAAAACACATTGTCAGCTGGCGCGAAAACTGTCAGCATTTGGCGAAACATGTAATCCTGTCGTCAAATGTTGAAATGCGCGACTCGGTTTAGACTGAATTCGCGGCTCGAGAAAATTCACCGAGCCGCAAGTCGGAAATCGTCAGTGAAACCGCCGGTCAATTCCTATCCCCTTTAAAAATCCACTAATTATGAGTTACAACGATGGTTTCAAAGTTTCGGCCGAAAAAAACGGCCGTTTTTTTGCACCAGCACAAAATGACATGGTTTTACCGTTTTAAACCGTTTTTTACGACCGAAAACTACGATACCGTTTTTTACGCCGAAATTTCAAAGTTTCGGCCGTTTTTTTTGCACCTTGCTGTTGACCTTGGTTTCCTGTTGACCTTGGTTTCCTGTTCACCATCATGGCACCATGTAAGCCATTTGGAGCATGGGGACTGGAGGTTCTGTCACATTGAAGGCGCACTTCAACTTGTCGTTCCGCCATGCATGATGCATCACCATGCTCCCACCAGTGCAGGTGCAAGTGTCTCTACTGCCCAACCCCAGCCATCTGGAGCTGGTGGATCCGGTTGTGGTGGGCAAGGCCAGAGGAAAGGATTAGCTCAAATTAAACTCCACCCTCATTCCCCATTCCACCTCGCCATGCCTCACCATGCTCCCACTAGCGCAGGTGCAAGTGTCGCTACTGCCCAACCCCAGCCATCTGGAGCTCGTGGATCCGGTCGTGGTGGGCAAGGCCAGAGCCAAGCAGCTCTTCACCAACGACTCCTCCAGGCGCTCCGTCATGGTGGGTGCTGTGCGGTGCTATGCGGTGAGATGTGGTGCTGTGCCGGAAGCCAAATTCCCAGCGTGACATGACGCCCACTGTGTTGTCTTATGGCTGTGTCACCATGTCACCACAAGCTCTGTTGTCTTGTGAGCCAAGCAGCCCGTCACAAACAACACCTCCACGCGATCCATTATGGTCTGTGCCTTGCCTTCTGCCTAATGTTCTCATACGCTTGGTGCTGCCTCGGCTGGCCTTGGCCTGGCTTCGAATGAGAGCAGGACCCTTTTGTTCACCTTTCTTGATTGCATCTTCATGCACCTCGTTGCATCCCTCTGCACCTCCTTACATCCCTCCGTACCTCCTTGCATCCCTCTGCACCTCCTTGCATCTTCCTCACCATGCCTGACTGCCCTCGCTCCCTGCCAGGGTCTCATTCTGCACGGAGATGCAGCCTTCAGTGGCCTTGGCCTCGCTCCTGAGGTGCTGCAGGTACGGCCGAACCTGCAGGTGAGCCTGTGCTGCAGGCACGGCAGTGCTGCAGGTATGGCAGTGCTGCAGGTATGGCAGTGCTGCAAGTACGGCAGTTTCTGCAGGTAGGGAATATCTGATGTGGTGGTTGAGGCAGGGAAGCACCCAATCCCTTATTTCACACAAAAACAATATTTTTGTAATCAATGCTTTCCAGTATGCCCCCTCGACAGAGATTTTTTAGAATAAAAAAAAACGCCTTTTGATGCCGAACTGCATAAGGACACCAATCAGCTATCACAACCCCACCGCCTGTCCTTTCTCTCCCTCTCAACCGCTCTAAACCCCTCTCTTCACCCTAACGGAGCAGCTGTCAGACCTACCAGAGTACACAACGGGCGGCACGATCCACGTGATCATCAACAATCAGATCGGATTCACCACCGATCCGAAGCTTGCTCGCTCCTCCCCCCACCCCTCTGACTTCGCCAAGGTGAGGAGGGGAGGCGGCAGAGAAGGAGGGTTAGAGCTAACCGAGTAGTAAAAGAGAGTTTTTGCTGATTTTCTTACATGGAAAACAAGTCATGAAATGAAGGCATGGTGCATGTGGAAACGTATATGAAGGCGGCAGCGGCACGATCCACGTGATCATCAACAATCAGATCGGGCTCACCACCGACCTACCCCAAGCTCGCCCGCTCCTTCCCCCACTCCTCTAACTTTGCTAAGGTGAGCCGGCAGTTAAAGGGTTGCACCTTACAATCGAGTAAGGGCGTATCATAGAATCGAGTAGGTCAGCTGGCAGGGGAAGGTCAGCAGCAGATCATATAATAAAGTTGAACTAACTAGGTATTCTGTATCACCTTTGTTGCATGCAGTAGGGGCGCCATCGAACCATCCAAGTCTTTTGTCCCTCCTTGCTGCAGGCAGTGGGTGGGGGCGCCCATGTTTTGAGTCGACTCAAAACACGGCTCAAAGCACGGCTGTGAAGAGCAGTGGGGGCGACCATGTTTCATGTGAACGTTGATAATCTTAAAGCAGCTGTGGCCTCCAATAGAACCAACCAGGCCCTCCGTCCCATGCTCTCTTGCTGCAGGCACTGGTGGCAGGCAGTTTGAACCAACCACCTCTTCCTGCCCCTCTTGCTGCAGGCAGTGGGGGCGCCCATATTCCATGTGAACGCCGATGATCCCGAGGCAGTGGCTCACATCTGCTCCCTCGCTGTCGACTGGCGCCAGGTGCGCGGTGCATTATGTTCCGTTGCAGGAGTGTGTGTGTTGCCCACCCACTCCATTCCATTCATGCCATTTGCCGATTGCCGTGAGTTCCTTCCCATGTGCGACATGCCATGTGATGTGGGGCCGTTTGAATAGTGAACTCATTATGTAGCCCATGCAACTTGTATGCAATATCGCATACACGCATAATTTGCTGTGTTACCCATGTGCTTGCATCATGTGTTGTACATACATGATGCATCATGTGCCATGGCATGTGCATGCATGGTGCATCATGTGGCATGTGCATGTGCGTGCATGGTGCGGCATGTGGCATGCATGGTGCATCATGTGGCATGTGCATGTGCGTGCATGGTGCATCATGTGGCATGTGCATGTGCGTGCATGGTGCGGCATGTGGCATGTGCATGTGCGTGCATGGTGCGGCATGTGGCATGTGCATGTGTGTGCATGGTGCGGCGCATGCACGGTGCAGCATGTGGCATGTGCATGTGCGTGCATGGTGCGGCACGTGGCATGTGCATGTGCATGCATGGTGCGGCATGTGGCATGTGCATGTGCGTGCATGGTGCGGCATGTGGCATGTGCATGTGCGTGCATGGTGCGGCATGTGGTATGTGCATGTGCGGGCATGGTGCGGCATGTGGCATGTGCATGTGTGTGCATGGTGCGGCGCGTGCATGGTGCGGCATGTGGCATGTGCATGTGCGTGCATGGTGCGGCATGTGGCATGTGCATGTGCATGCATGGTGCAGCATGTGGCATGTGCATGTGCGTGCATGGTGCGGCATGTGGCATGTGCATGTGCGTGCATGGTGCATCATGTGGCATGTGCATGTGCGTGCATGGTGCATCATGTGGCATGTGCATGTGCGTGCATGGTGCATCATGTGGCATGTGCATGTGCGTGCATGGTGCGGCATGTGGCATGTGCATGGGGAGCAGACATTCGGCAAGGATGTGGTGGTGGATCTCGTGTGCTACAGGAGGCATGGCCACAACGAGCAGGTGAGCATGCCAGAATATTAGTTGAGCATGGGACCACGGGAGTCTTTGAGCATGTGACCATGTGCATGCACGCTGTGCATGTGACCATGTGCATGCATGCTGAGCATGTGACCATGTGCATGCATGCTGTGCATGTGACCATGTGCATGCATGCTGAGCATGTGACCATGTGCATGCATGCTGTGCATGTGACCATGTGCATGCATGCTGAGCATGTGACCATGTGCATGCACGCTGTGCATGTGACCATGTGCATGCATGCTGAGCATGTGACCATGTGCATGCATGCTGTGCATGTGACCATGTGCATGCATGCTGAGCATGTGACCATGTGCATGCATGCTGTGCATGTGACCATGTGCATGCATGCTGAGCATGTGACCATGTGCATGCATGCTGTGCATGTGACCATGTGCATGCATGCTGTGCATGTGACCATGTGCATGCATGCTGTGCATGTGTGTGGAAGGGGGGCAGACCCTCGGCAAGGATGTAGTGGTGGACCTCGTGTGCTACAGGCGACATGGGCACAATGGGCAGGTGAGAATCTCTTCCCTAGAGTGCACTTGCGATGCCAGCAATGGGTGCGTGCAAGCATGGGAGCATGTGTGTGGGTGGAGGCGCAGACGGCAAGGATGTAGGGGTGGACCTCGTGTGCTACAGGCGACATGGGCACAACAAGCAGGTGGGCATGCTAGCTAGACTGCACGTGTTGGCATTTCAGCGTGCGAGTATGTGAGCATACACATGAGCAACGCAGGTGCTATGCTGCACTGCACATAACATATACGCACACACGTATGCGCTCCTTTTGAGACGTCTCAAAAGACGCTGCACTGCACATAACATATACGCACACACGTATGCGCTCCTTTTGAGACGTCTCAAAAGACGCTGCACTGCACATAACATATACGCACACACGTATGCGCGCACGCATGCACACAAGCACGCGCCGTTCCTGACAAGGCAGCATCGATCGATGCAGGGCGCCCAATCCGCTCCCTATCTCTTACCCCCTGTCCGTCCTACTCCCTCCTTCCCACCACAGGACGTATCCGCTGATGTACTCTCATATGCACACCAATATAATCTGATTCTTCCCCCCTCCTCCCAACCGCCCCCTTCTTCTCTTTACAGGACGACCCACGAGTGACACAACCCCTGATGTACGCTCTGGTGGACCGTGGACGCCCACCCTTCCATTCGCAAACATGTGCACACCAATATAAACTTATTCCTCCCCACTCCTCCCAACCGGCCCGTGTTCCTCTTTACAGGACGACCCACGAGTGACACAGCCCCTGATGTACTCTCTAGTAGACTCCCACCCGCCATGCCTTCAGCTGTATGCCTCGCGGCTCATGGCAGAGGAGGTGGTTACAGCGGAGGTGAGTGAAGAAGCGTTGTGCCATTCACATGAGCCACGTGTCGTGCCTATCTGTAACTCCACTGTTGGCGGTTACAGCAGATGTGAGTGCTGCACTGCTGGTTACAGCAGATGTGAGTGCTGCACTGCTGGTACACGCCCACCTTCCATGCCTTCAGCTCCACGCCGCACGGTTCATGGCAGAGGAGGTGGTTACAGCGGAGGTGAGTGCAAGGAGTGTGTGTTGTGCCTTTCACACCAGTCACATGCCACGTGTCCTGCCTGCAACTGTGCTGTATGGACGGGGTCACAGAAGAGGGGAGTTTGATGGGGTTTCTACGATGTGCATGAGGTGAGGTGATTGTTGATGTGATTGGTGACAGTGGATGGGAGCGGCGGTGTGTCGACACGGGTGCTTCAGGGTTGCACATAAATTGGAATGGGTTGTTCTCGCACACACCATAGCATGTGCACAAGTGGGCATGCACGTCCATACATATGCATGTCGATGCACACACATCCAGACGATGCATCTGCGCACACCACATGCTGCATCTCCTCCATCCATCCGCATCCCCCTCAGGAGATCGCCAGCTGGCAGGCTGACGTGGAGGCTGAGTTTGAGCGTGCGTTTGAGAACACCAGCAAGCAACAAGTGTCGCCACAGGATTGGCTTGCTGCCAACTGGCAAGGTACTGCCAACATTTCGTCTGTACAGCTTGCAATCGTTTCGACAGCTAGCATTAACATGCTGAGATGGATGGAATGTTTGTGGAAACCCAGGCAGCTTGGTAAGGGAACAGAGCATGGCATGGCGTATATGTGTGCTCTCAGTCTGCCCCTGCCATGTAGCATCTCATGACTTGTCAATCTGATTCTCATGGCATGGCAGGGGAGGCGCTTGGATCGCTGGTGAGTCAGCGCAAGGTGCAGCCCACTGGCCTTCCCCTCAAGACCTTGCAACGCGTGGTGAGGAACCGGGGAGATGGTTAAGGGAGGCCGAGATGGTGAGGTGGAAAGGACGGTGAGGGGAAGGATGGTGGAGGGGGAAGGGGGGAGGAAAACAGGGGGGAAGCGATGGCAAGGGAGAGGTGAACATGGAGAAGTTGGTATTGGGGGCTGCCTGGCGGATCAGGCGTTTTCTACGGTTTCACGTGCTCAATGCTGTTATGAGTCACGGCCTCACTTGTTCTCACGTGTCATGACCACACACGTTCCCATGTTGTACCGACCTCACGCGTTCCCTTCCCATCCCACATGTTGCAGGGGGATGTGCTCTGCACTGTACCACCGGACTTCACCTTACACCCTCAGGTACTGTTCTGACCCTTGCTTCTGAAACCAGCTTGAAAGGTCACACTTCACTTTCACTGTGTGCACATGCTGCATGCATGCATGGGTGCATTTGAGCTACTTATCGTGAGCGGTACGCACAACCAAACAACCATAAGCAACACAACAATAAGCAACACAACCATAAGCAACACAACCATAAGCAACACAACCATGAGCAACACAACCATAAGCAACACAACCATGAGCAACACAACCATAAGCAACGCAGAGCAACCCTCCAATATCCAGCAGCATCATTCATTGCTCACACAGCAGTGTTAATCATCCACACAACACCACTCATGTTTCCCTTCAGAATGCACCCAGAGCGTATGTACGGTCATGCCTCCTCTTATACCAAGATCATCCCTTGCTATTTGCCGTCATCCTTTTTGGGCGATTGCCGCAAGATCACAACCACTGACTGATCCCCTCCTCCCTCCCTGTCCCATGCTTCCTCCGTGTCCCTTTCTTCCTTGCTCCTCCCTTGCCTCCTTCCGCTTTTCTCTCCTCCCTTCTCATCCGTGCTTCCCTCTGTTTCTCGCCCTCATCCCACCTGGTGCACCTGTCACGTAGCTCACTGCAGGAGGATAGCAACTGATTTCTTCCTCCCTCTTCCTCCTTGCTTACCCCATACCCCGCCCTTCTCTCTTTTCTCATCCTCCTCATCCGCTGCTTCCCCGCTCTCCGTTACTCACTTTGCTCGAACCCCCACGGGTGCACTGCCAGCCAGGTGGTATCGCTGCTGAAGAACCTCTTTTTAGTCGACTCAAGACACGCTCTCCCTTCTCACCCTGCTCGAAACCGACCCCCCCCCCCCCCCCCCTCCTCTCCTTCCTGCGCCCCGGGTGCACTGCCAGGTGGCATTGCTGCTGGAGAATCGCCGCAAAATGATGGCAACTGGGGAAGGCATCGACTGGGCCATGGCAGAGGCTCTTGCCTTCGGGTACGCTTGTGTGTCACTGTTGAGAGATTCCGAGGCTGGGAAAGGCATTGACTGGGAAAGAAGTTGACTGGGGAAGGCATAGACTGGGAAAGACGTTAACTGGGGAAGGCATAGACTGGGCCATGGCAGAGGCTCTTGCCTTCAGGTACGCTTGTGTGTCTCTGTTGAGACATTTCGAAACTGTTGAAGGCATAGGCTGGGCCGGGGAAGGCTTTGGCTGGGAAGGCATTGACTGGGAAACGCATAGGCTGGGGAAGGCAGAGGCTGGGGAAGGCAGAGGCTGGGGAATCCGTGTCGCCTCCACAGCCCCACCTCTTCTATTCCTCCCGCCGCCCGTGCTCTTTTCAGTCCCACCTCCCTGCTTAGATTCTTTAACATCTGCCTGATTCAATCCCCTTGCAGCAACCCAGCACATTTCCTACTCCGATCCCATTGCCCCCACCCCACCCTCCCACCCACCCAACCACCCATCCACTCCCGCCCCCCTTCCAGCTCGCTTCTTCTGCCATTCGACCCCGTCGCTGAACCAGACGGCAGACAGCAACCCCACCCATGCTTCCTTTTCCCATCCCAATTCCATCCGCCCTTCTTGCCCTCTCCTCTCCCCCCCATCCAGCTCGCTTCTTCTGCCGTTTGACCCGTCTCTGAACCAGACGGCAGACAGCAACCCCACCCATGCGGTGCGGCTGAGCGGGCAGGACTGTGAGCGCGGCACCTTCAACCACCGCCATGCCGTCATGCATGAACAGACCACGGGGCAACGGTGAGTGTGATGTGATGACATGACATGCATGCTCTTGTATGTGCGCACAGACTCCCGGCGGGGCACCTTCAACCACCGCCATGCTGCCATGCATGAACAGACCACGGGGCAACGGTGAGTGTGATGTGATGACATGACATGCATGCTCTTGTATGTGCGCACAGACTCCCGGCGGGGCACCTTCAACCACCGCCATGCTGCCATGCATGAACAGACCACGGGGCAACGGTGAGTGTGATGTGATGACATGACATGCATGCTCTTGTATGTGCGCACAGACTCCCGGCGGGGCACCTTCAACCACCGCCATGCTGCCATGCATGACCAGACCACGGGGCAACGGTGAGTGGGATATGATGTGTTGTGATGTGATGTGATGTGATGTGATGTGATGTGATGTGATGTGATGTGATGTGATGTGATGTGATGTGATGTGATGTGATGTGATGTGATGTGATGTGATGTGGTGTGATGTGATGTGATGTGATGTGATGTGATGTGGTGTGATGTGATGTGATGTGATGTGATGTGATGTGGTGTGGTGCACCATCTTACATGTGCACATGCACTCATGGGGCACCTTCAACCACCGCCACGCCGTCATGCACGACCAGACCACGAGGCATTGGTGAGTTGGGGGAAGCAGTGAGTGTGATGTGATGTGATGTGATGTGATGACATGACATGCATCATGCTCCTGTCTTTTATGCACGCATACACTCACGGGGCACCTTCAGCCACTGCCATGCAGTCATGCACGACCACCAGGCCACAGGGCAGCAGTGAGTTGGGGGAGGCGGTGAGCTGGATACGACGCATGCTCTTATATGCCCGCACACACTCCTGGGCACCTTCAGTTCAACCACCGCCGTGCCGTCATGCATGACCAGGCCACGAGGCAGCGGTGAGTTTGATGTTGTCTAGGGTTGTGGGGCCATATTCGCAAAAATGCTAGCGTCTAGTCTTTATATCATACCATACACAATTGTTCAGAGCTGCTACTTCACACTAGTACTCCCTCCCTACCATACGACCCCAACACACTCGCGTGCTTTACCACAAGTACACCTCGCTGCAGCACGTGGCAGCAGGGCAGGAGCAGCTCATGGTGTCCGCGTAACTCGAACCTGTTGGTGGCACCCGTATCCCCCCACATGCAATGCAACCCCAGCCATTCTGTTTGCTTCCCTGCAGGTACACCTCGCTGCAGTGTGTTTCAGCAGGGCAGGAGCGGGTCATGGCGTCCGCGTAACTCGAGCCTGTCGGAAGCAGCAGTGCTGGGCTTTCTGGTTGCCTTGGTGGCAACCGTATCCCCCCACATGCAATGCAACCCCAACCATTCTGTGTGCTTTCTCGCAGGCACACTCCGCTGCAGCAGCACGTGGCAGAGGGGCAGGAGCGGTTCATGGTGTGCAATTCAAGGCTGTCGGAGGCTGCTGTTCTGCCCTCACAGTGCGCTACTCCCTCCCTCCCACCCCATGCAATACGGCCCACATGTGAATCATGATCCGCTGCAGATACACCCCTCTGCAGCACGTGGCTGCAGGACAGGAGCGATTCATGGTGTGCAACTCGAGCCTGTCAGAGGCAGCAGTGCTGGGCTTCGAGTACGGCTTCAGTCTGGAGAACGAAAATGCCCTTGTGTGCTGGGAGGCGCAGGTGACTTGGGAAGGTGAATGGTGTGTGTGCCACGCTGAGTTGGGCTTTGAGTACAGCCACTGGTGTGGTGTGCTGGTGTGCCGTGCAGTGCTGGGCTTTGAGTATGGCTTCAGCCTGGAGAACGAAAACGCCCCGGTCTGCTGGGAGGCGCAGGTGAGGTGAGAGTTAGATGGACTGCTCTCGTGCACTGGGTCTCGAATGCAGGTTAGTCTGGAAAATTAGAATACCCTCGTCTGCTGGGAGGCTCAGGTGGTTTAGGAGGCCGCTCGTGTGCCGTACAGTGTAGGCATGTGCTTTGTGCTGTGCCTGCCTGCAAGGCTCGTGTTCTCGTGTAACCTCATCTGCTCGGAGGCCCAGGTGGGCTATAACACTCCATTCTTCCTTTGCCCCTCTCTGTATCCTACCCCTCTCTTTTTTGCCCCAATCAGATTGCCCTCGCCTCTCCCTCTCTTCTCTCTCCTCCCACTGCCTCTCTCTCTCCCCCCGCCCCGGTCAGTTTGGGGACTTTGCGAACAACGCGCAGGCGATAATAGACAACTTCATAGTGAGCGGGGAGGACAAGTGGATGACCCCCACGGGCCTTGTGCTGCTGCTGCCGCACGGCTTTGACGGCCAGGGCCCCGAACACTCCTCCGCCCGCCTCGAGAGGTACCTTCAGGTGGGTTGCTATTGGGGAGCTTGAGAGGTACCTGCAGGTGGGTTGCTATTGGGGAGCTTGAGAGGTACCTGCAGGTGGGTTGCTATTGGGGAGCTTGAGAGGTACCTGCAGGTGGGTTGCTATTGGGGAGCTTGAGAGGTACCTGCAGGTGGGTTGCTATTGGGGAGCTTGAGAGGTACCTGCAGGTGGGTTGCTATTGAGGGCGTGAGAGGTACCTTCAGGTGGGTGGTCTTGGGGGGCCTGAGAGGTACCTGCAGGTGGGTGGGTCTGTCTATTAACTGCCAAAAAAGCTACTGATTTCTCGCTGCTGCTGCCGCACGGCTTTGACGGCCAGGGCCCCGAACACTCCTCCGTCCGCCTCGAGAGGTACCTGCAGGTGGGTGGTCTTGGGGGGGCTGAGAGGTACCTGCAGGTGGGTGGTCTTGGGGGGCCTGAGAGGTACCTGCAGGTTGTTGTTCAGGTTGTCCTTCAGTTGATCCCTCAGGTTTTCTGATTTTATTTGATTTCAAATGGCCATGGCACGCCACTCAATCCGCGTCTGTCTGCCCTCCGTGACAGCTCGGCTAGACACCTTCCATCCCTTCGCCTACTGCCACCCCACTTTTCCATTCATTTCCTCCTCCCCTCCGCTCCCCCAACACTCTCCGTCCTCTGTTTCCCCACCTCCGTCCCATTTCTTCCCCTCCCTCTTTCCCATTCCCTCCCCTCCCTCTTTCCCATTCCCTCCCCTCCCTCTTTCCCATTCCCTGCCCTCCCCCATTCGCTTCCCTTACCTCTCTGCTGCCCCATTCCTTCCCCTTCACCTATCTTCACCAGGAAGCAGCTGGTGAACGACAATGCCGACCACCTTCCCGGCTACAGTCCACACTTGGCCGCTTTTGAGTCGACTCAAATGTCCCTACCTCCTTTTTCTTCCGCTCCCCAATTCCTTCCCCTTCACCAATCTCCAAGCAGCTGGTGAACGACGATGCCGACCACCTTCCCGGCTACAGTCCGCACCTGGCCGCCCAGATTGAGGCGGGGTTCACCATAGCCGACCGCGGTGAGTGGGCGGGCGGCGGTGGGCTGGGTGGCAACAGTGCTTGGATGACGTGTCGATGGGCGTGAATCAACAGAAATGGAAAAATAGTTCTCCGGCTGAAACAGCTTGAGGGGTATGCATAGAAGAACGCAGAGCATGGGAAGAGCAAGTGCATGCAGATTGGGAATTTGGTGAAGATGGCAGTTGATGCGGAGTGGGCAGTTGATGTGGAGAGGGCAGTTGATGCGGAGAGGGCAGTTGATGCGGAGAGGGCAGTTGATGCGGAGAGGGCAGTTGATGCGGAGAGGGCAGTTGATGCGGAGAGGGCAGTTGATGCGGAGAGGGCAGTTGATGCGGAGAGGGCAGTTGATGCGGAGAGGGCAGTTGATGCGGAGAGAGCAGTTGATGCGGAGAGGGCAGTTGATGCGGAGAGGGCAGTTGATGCGGAGAGGGCAGTTGATGCGGAGAGGGCAGTTGATGCGGAGAGGGCAGTTGATGCGGAGAGGGCAGTTGATGCGGAGAGGGCAGTTGATGCGGAGAGGGCAGTTGATGCGGAGAGGGCAGTTGATGTGGAGAGGGCAGTTGATGCGGAGAGGGCAGTTGATGCGGAGAGAGCAGTTGATGCGGAGAAGGCAGTTGATGCGGAGAGGGCAGTTGATGCGGAGAGGGCAGTTGATGCGGAGAGGTCAGTTGATGCAGAGAGGGCAGTTGATGCGGAGAGGGCAGTTGATGCGGAGAGGGCAGTTGATGCGGAGAGGGCAGTTGATGCGGAGAGGGCAGTTGATGCGGAGAGGGCAGTCGATGCGGAGAGGGCAGTTGATGCGGAGCAGGCAGTTGATGCGGAGAGGGCAGTTGATGCGGAGAGGGCAGTTGATGTGGAGAGGGCAGTTGATGCGGAGCGGGCAGTTGATGCGGAGAGGGCAGTTGAGGAGGAGCGGGTACTAGAAGGACTGTTGGTGATGACGTCTCTTTTTTCAACCCTGCCAACCCTAATCCATGGCAGACAACAAAGGCCACGTGTCGCTCTCTGATTTGCTGGAGTTCATGCAGTCGCAGTACGGGCTGGGCCACGACTACGTGACGGCGCTTGCCCACCAGATGCACATCGACGAATCAAATCAAATCTCCAAGTGAGCCAACAAATTGGTGAAGGAGCTACCACATGCATCCATACATGTAGCTCGTGTAATCATTTCTGTGGTATCAACTCTGGGTCAGTGGGAGGCATTCATGGTGTGTACGTAACATGCCGACATACATGCATACATACATCCGGCATGTGTGGTCACATCACGTGTGTGCCTCCAGGGCGGACTGAGAGGCATTCGTGGTGCTTTGGTTGCAGCAACGTACGCTCCGCTGTGATAATAGGTGTCTTACTCAGATCCATGCATGCATCATACATATGCCATGTGCTTTGTGTGTCCTGCCAGGGCGGACTGGGAGTCATTCATGGTGAGGTGGATGAGGCGCAATGCACAGAGGGACAACAACGTGTGTGTCGTCAACCTCACCACGCCCGCCAATTACTTCCACGCCCTCCGCCGCCAGGTGCCCTCTCCGCCGCCAGGTGCCCTCTCCGCCGTCAGGTGCCCTCTCTGCTGTCAGGTGCCCTCTGCTGTCAGGTGCCCTCTCTCTGCTGTCAGGTGCCCTCTCTGCTTTCAGGTGCCCTCTCTGCTGTCAGGTGCCCTCTCTGCTGTCAGGTGCCCTCTGCTGTCAGATGTTAGTGTTAGCCTTCAATCTCACACTTTGTACTTCGTATTTTCTATATCCTAGAGTAGTGTAGTTTGCACATTGTGTTTGGTTGGGTGTACACCTACATCCCAACCAAACCCAAATGTAATCTCCAAGCAATCTCCAACCCACCAATTGGAAGATTGCCTTGGGATTACCCCTAATCCCTAGGATTGCCCCCGATTCCCTTCCCCATCCATTCCCTCCCCTTCTTGGATGTATTTTAAGAGCTTCAAGCTCATTACTAATGCATCGCTTCTAAGCCTAAGTTCTAAGATGGTATCAGAGCCTTTCAAACCGCACACGCGGATCGTGATCCTCTTATCTCTGCGGATGTTCGTCCCGCAAACCTCGGCGTAACCGCCTTCAATCTCATCGCAGTTGTTTCGTGACATTCGTGGGCGGAAATTCTTCCGCACCACTTTCCCGTCACTCTCGACGGCATCTACTATCTGACTGGTAAGCGCGTCGTTGGCGTTTTAACCTATCGTTCGTTTTCGTCGAACATTATCGCGTCATTCCTTCTCCTCGTCGGGCTGTCGCCCGTCGCCCTGCAGCTTCTCGTCGGGCCGCCGCCCGTCGCCCCGCAGCTTCACCTTTGGGCTGCCGCCCGTCGCTCCGCATCTGCACTCCTACCTCCATCCCCCTCCCTTTCCCGCAGCTGAACAGGTGCAGCAGCGCAGCCGAGCAACAGCGTAGCCACGAAGCCGAGCAGCCGTGTAGCCGCGAAGCCGAGCAGCAGCGCAGCCGAGAAGCTGAGGGTGGTGTGTGGGGGGGTGTGTGGGAATAGGATTAGTAGGTAGTTGACACTAAATTGGCGTTTCAGTCGAATTCTCCTTCAGAAACCCTAAACCTCAAAATTCTCTTTTGTAAACCCTAAACCTCCGGTTCTTCAAAATCTCCTTCGGAAACCCCAAACCTCAAGTTCCTATCGTTGTCTCAAGAGCGGCGCTCCGCGCGACACCCTAAGGGGTCTCCATCATGGCATTCGCCTCGTCCACCATGGCCAACCCCATCACCCCGCTCCGTCTTGACGCCGATGGCTCTAGCTCCAACTTCAAGGCATGGAGCTATGGGGTTTACAAGCACCCGCTGAGCCGTGACGTGCAGGGATTGGACCTCAAGGATGTCCTCCTCAACCGTGGCAAGGGAAAACAGCCCCTTCTCCCTCGCGAGCCGACCGAATCCGCTAGTGAGGCTGACACAAAGGCATATGAGGAAGCCGTTGAGAAGTACCGGAAGTGGTAGAAGGCCGATGCTGCAATTATCAGCGTCTTCATCGCCTCCACCCCTCCAAAACTTGTCAACACGTTCCATAACTACCCTACCTCCAACGCCATCTGGAAGTATCTCCAGGATCGGTTCATGAACAAGACTGCAGTCGGAGTTGCCATCCTCATCCCCAGCATGTTTCAGGTCCGCCTTGAGGATTGCTCGGGAATGGCCGACTACATTGCCAAGGTTTAGACCATTCATGGCGAACTCAAGGAGCTGGGTATAGTCTTCCCCGAACAGGCCCCTGCAGCAGCTTTTCTCGTTGGTCTCACCACAACCTATGAAATCACAAGGAAGATGCTCCTCACGCTGACTGCGGAAGACCTCACTTTTGCCAAGGTCTCCACCGCACTCCTCTCTGCCGAGAAAGACTCCTCGGCTCAGGCCAAGGCTTACGCCATCCGTGCTCCCATGCCTCAAGCCAGTGTCGCATCGGCCCTTGCCTCGGCGCCCCTCCAGCGCAACCGCTTCCCACCGTGCACCTACGTCGTCAAGTATGACAACCGCAAGGGACAAGTGTGTGGTGGCACTAACCACCCCCTCGCTACGTGCTTCAAGAAGAAGGACGACGAATGGTACGCCATCCACGGCATAGACAAGATGCCACCGAACTGGATGCGTGCGCGTAAGGCCAACTTGGTTGAGGTCCAGGACCCCGCTTCGGCTAATGCTAGTGATAGTGCTCCTGCTGATGCCCGTATCAACCTGTTGTTCCCTGACACTGCCATGATTAATGAAGCTTCCTCCCAGTACATCGGCTCATCACAAGCACCACAATACATAGAGTTCACACTCGACAGTGGGGTCACACACACTGTAATCAAGGAGACACTCTTCTTCAAACCCTACGCAACACCCATCCCTCTTCTAGGAGCTGACTCAAGCTTCACCACTCATGCCAAAGGTTCATCCACAGTCCTGTGCCCCGCCTTCCCTTCCGGCACTGTCACTGGAATGTGCGTGCCTTCACTCCGCCACAATCTCGTGGCCCAAACGGAAATTCAGGAAGCTGGACTACGCACCATCTTTTGGGAGAACGAGAACTATGGTGATATCCTCGACCCACTCACCAACAAGGTCTTATCTCGTTTCACCCTCAACAGCAGCGGCCTTTACACGCTGCAAGTACCCATCCCACAGGTGTCAACCACCCAAACAGCGGCGACTACCTCACCATGCTCGTGCCGCAGTTTCTCCAACCCGACCATACTCTACCACCATCGGCTCGGGCACCCAAACTTCCGCACACTTGCTGACATGGCCTCCAAGAAACTTCTACTCGGCCTGCCAGCCTCACTTCCTCCACCACCAGACTCCCCCGCTCCCGCGTGCCTTGACTGCACCAAAAGCAAACTGCGTCAACAGCCCCACCCGGCCTCACCCTCTGTTGCAGCAGGACCACTGGACCTGGTACACCTGGACGTCTGGGGCCCTGCCCCTGTTCCCGCACGAGGTGGTTATCGCTACTTCCTTGTTATCGTCGATGACCACTCTCGCTACGTCTCTGATCACCTCCTCCACACTAAGGCTGCGGTTCCAGAGGTCCTCATGGCGTGGGCTAAACAGGCACACCCTGGTGCAGATCACTGAGTGCCTCCTCAGCCACTCCAACGCTCCACACTCTCTCTGGGGGTACGCTCTCTACCACGCCGCCCTCCTCTACAACCTTTACCCCCACCCGCATCTTCCCGACACCACTCCAACCACTCTCTGGCTCGGGAAAACGCCCACTGCTCGCTCTCTTCGCGTTTGGGGGTGCACCGCCTATGTCCTCCTCAACCCTCAGGCTCGACGGCAGCACGGCGGCAAGCTCGGTCCCAAGACCCAGACATGCATCTACCTCGGACACAACGCCGACTCGCCTGACTACCTCTTCCTCAATCCCTCCACTCAGCAGTTGGTCCGGAGCCGCGACGTTGTCTTTGATGAGACCCGCCCATTCTACTCCACTTCGGGACGGGACCCTCTCCCTGACCCACCCTCCCTCGTGTGGGCAGACTTTGATGCGCCTCCGGACCTCTCGCCTGCTCCGGCCCCTTCACCCCCTACCCCTCCTGCCACCGCACCGTCCCCCTCTGCGGTCTCTGACCCGCCCTCACCGGTGTCTTCGGCAGCTGCTCCTCCATCCCCCTCACTTCCCACTCCGCCGACTGTGCAGCCACCTCCGAGCGCACCTATCACCTACCATCGGCGGTCCCGCCCTCCGGCCCCACCTCCTCCCCCGGTTCCCCCCACCACAGAGAAACCCGCTCTCCCACAGTCGCCCGAGCTGATCACGTACCACCGGCGGCCCATTCCCCCGCCCAAGCCTCCTAAGTCAACCCCTCCGACACCGCCTGCCCCACCCTCTTCTCCGGTGGCTCATGGCATTCGTTCGCATGGCGCGGCTCTTCCACTAGCGCTGGTTCTTCGATACACGGCGATCACACCGCCTCCTCCTGCTGGGGGGGATGTGCCCTCTACCCTTCTGGAAGACAGGCATGAGGAGCTGTGTGATCTTCATGCAGTCATTCCTCAGCTCTCGCACATATTCCCCGACATCACTGACTCACCCTCCCTCAACTTCGCGGAGAACCCGACCATCCCTATCCCTCTCACCGTCCAAGAGGCTCTCTCAGGCCCTCATGCTGCCGAATGGCGTGCTGCCATGGAAGCGGAGATTGCAGCATTCACCCGCAAGCACTCCTTCGACGACGAGACTCCACCTCCAGGAGTCAACATCGTCGGGGGCAAGTGGTTGTTCCGTGTAAAACAGCTCCCAGACGAGGCCCCGGTGTTCAAAGCGCGTTACGTAGCCAAGGGCTTCACCGAGCAGCAGTACCGCGACTTCTTCCTAACCTTCTCCCCCACATCCAAACCTCCCACCATTCGTACGCTCATGGATGTTGCTGCTCGAGAAGACTTTGAGATCAAATCCATGGATGCCTCATCTGCCTTCCTACAAGGACGTCTCAAGGAGAGAGTGTTCATGGACAGACCAGAAGGCTTCCCAGGAGAATTCCCTCCCAACACTGTCTGGAAGCTGAATCACCCCGTCTACGGCCTTAAACAAGCCCCTCGCGAATGGCACAACAAGGTGAAAGAAGTCCTCCTCTCCCTGGACTTCCACCCTTCAACTGCTGACCCGACTCTCTTCATCCGCCGTCATTCTGAGCCATTCTACATCCTGGTCTACGTGGATGATTTCATCCTCGTTGCCAAGGACTCGGCCCAGATGACTTCTGTCCAGGCAGCCCTGAGCAAGGCTCTCCAGATGAAAGACCTCGGTGACCTCAAGCACTACCTGGGGATGCAGATCACTCGTGATCGCCAGGCTCGCACCATTTCACTCTCCCAGGAGTTCTACATCGGCAATGTGCTCAAGCTGTTTGAGATGGAGCTGTGCACACCTGTTGCCACCCCGCTGCCGCTGCAACACCTCCTCACTTCTCCAGCTGTACCCACACCAGAGGCCTGCTCTGAGCCATACCCGGAGCTTGTTGGGTCCCTCACGTATGCCATGATGTGCACCCGACCGGACTTGGCCTATCCTGTCGGTGTCCTCTCTCGCTACGTGGCCCCTGGACGCTTCACTGATCTTCACTGGAAGGCGGCGAAGCGGGTGCTGCGCTATCTTCAGGGCACCAAGTCTCACGTTCTCACACTCGGTGGGCTCTCCCCTCCTCGCCTGGAAGGTTACACCGACTCCTCCTGGGCTGATGACCAGACCGACCGACGCTCCTCTCAGGGCAACTACTTCACCCTTGGGAGCGGAATTGTCAGTTGGCGCTCCACCAGGTCGTCTGCAGTCTCCCTCTCCTCCTGTGAGGCAGAGCTCTACGCAGGCACCATGGCTGCTTAGGAGGCCCGTTGGCTCACCTTCCTACTCCAGGAGCTTGGTTTCCCACAGTCCGCCCCCACCCTCTGGTGTGACAACCAGAGTACCATCCACATCTCTCAAGACCCTGTGTATCACACCCGTACCAAGCATATTGAACTTTGGCACTTCTTCATCCGTGACCTTGTCCAACAGGAGCAGCTGAAAGTGGAATACGTTGCATCTGACTGCAACCTGGCTGATCTGTTCACCAAGCCCCTTGGGAAAGTTCCCCACCACCGTCTCCTAGGCGCCATAGGGCTATGTGCACCACCCTCTCTACCATGAGTTCGATTGACGCCTATGGGGGGGTGTTAGTGTTAGCCTTCAATCTCACACTTTGTACTTTGTATTTTCTATATCCTAGAGTAGTGTAGTTTGCACATTGTGTTTGGTTGGGTGTACACCTACATCCCAACCAAACCCAAATGTAATCTCCAAGCAATCTCCAACCCACCAATTGGAGATTGCCTTGGGATTACCCCCAATCCCTAGGATTACCCCCGATTCCCTTCCCCATCCATTCCCTCAACTTCTTGGATGTATTTAAAGAGCTTCAAGCTCATTACTAAGTTCTAAGATCAGGTGCCCTCTCTCTGCTGTCAGGTGCCCTCTCTGCTGGCAGGTGCCCTCTCTGCTGTCAGGTGCCCTCTCTGCTGGCAGGTGCCCTCTCTGCTGTCAGGTGCCCTCTCTGCTGGCAGGTGCCCTCTCTGCTTTCAGGTGCCCTCTCTGCTGTCAGGTGCCCTCTCTGCTGTCAGGTGCCCTCTGCTGTCAGGTACCCTCTCTCTGCTGTCAGGTGCCCTCTCTGCTGTCAGGTGCCCTCTCTGCTGTCAGGTGCCCTCTCTGTTGTCAGGTGCCCTCTGCTGTCAGGTGCCCTCTCTGCTGTCAGGTGCCCTCTCTGCTGTCAGGTGCCCTCTGCTGTCAGGTACCCTCTCTCTGCTGTCAGGTGCCCTCTCTGCTGTCAGGTGCCCTCTCTGCTGTCAGGTGCCCTCTCTGTTGTCAGGTGCCCTCTGCTGTCAGGTGCCCTCTCTCTGCTGTCAGGTGCCCTCTCTACTGTCAGGTGCCCTCTCTGCTGTCAGGTGCCCTCTCTACTGTCAGGTGCCCTCTCTGCTTTCAGGTGCCCTCTCTGCTGTCAGGTGCCCTCTCTGCTGTCAGGTGCCCTCTCTGCTGTCAAATGCCCTCTCTGCTGTCAGGAGCCCTCTCTGCTGTCAGGTACCCTCTCTGCTGTCAGGTGCCCTCTCTGCTGTCAGGTGCCCTCTCTGCTGTCAGGTGCCCTCTCTGCTGTCAGGTGCCCTCTCTGCTATCAGGTGCCCTCCACTGCTGTGTGTCACATGTGTCATCAAGGCATCGTCTCATTACGTACATATCACTACCATCATCATCTCCAAGTGCTTATCTCTCCCCATCCACCCGACTGTACCCATGTGCACCCATCTGTCGGTCACCTCTCTCTCTTGCACAGGTCAATCGGCATTTCTCCAAGCCCCTCGTCGTCATGTCCCCCAAGGTAACGCCCCTTGCTGCTCACGCCAATATTGTACTTGACCTTCTTTGTGTATTGTTTTGAGTCGACTCAAAACACGACTCATTACATGCCCCTTGCTGCTCACGCCCCTACTGTACTTGACCTTCCTTGCATATTGTTCTTGTGTAGAAGAGGTTGAGTGAGTTGTGCCGTAGACACGAAATCCCAAACTTACCCAAATGTGATTACCCCAAATCTCCAACCCACCAATTGCAGACTTCAGCAGATCGTGTTGGAAAATTCTTCTGAGCTCCCTTTCATTTCTTCCAGCCCATTCTTAATGTATATGCGACACAAGAGTGCCGTTACCCAGTCAATCACTCCCGCTCAAGTTTGTAGCATGTTTCTCCGTCCTCCCGTTCCACTCCTGTTTCCCCCCCCCCTTCCGCCCAAGCAGTACCTGCTGCATCACAAGCCATGTGCATCACCTCTCAGCCATTTCACATCCGGCACATTCTTCCAGTGAGTGAGCCCTTCTTCCCCCACCTTCGAATGAGCCCGGCACATTCTTCCAGTGAGCTCTCATTCCCCTCTCCTGCTTCTTGTAAACCTCCCCCCTTCTTCCCCCTCCTTTCCCCATTCACATCCACAGTGTGACTCTCTACTTCCCTCCCCTTCATGGCAATCGCTATGTCTACAGAGCAGTTTTCGAGGCATAGACAAAGAATGGGTCATGTGCTTCCTTTCCTCTCCGCTCTGTGGAATGTTTGTTTGAGTCGTCCCAAAGACGAGTCTCAAGTCGAATCGAAACGTATTACTACACCTTTCTGTGCCATGCGAGATCCGGACATGGCTCAGTGAGCTGCGTGCGTGCAGTAGGCTTAAGCGAAGGCTGATAGGCTTAAGCAAACGTATTTCCGCTCCGCTCAAAACGTATTACTAGACCTTTCTGTGCCATGCGTGCCCGCCAGGCCAGTGATAGCGGATGGAGACATAGGAGACAACATGCGGCATCTGCATGCTGACAAGCTGCTGCCGCCCGGCGAGATGAAACGCCTTGTGCTATGCTCAGGGAAGGTGCGGCATGGGCATGCTCTGTGTTGTGGTGCGTACTGGAATTCTGCTGACATAACATGCAACGTGGTACGGCATGTGATGGCATGGGATGGCACCTGTGTTGCAACACCACATGCTGCTGCATGCTTTGCATCCCCAACTCACCACCCTTTGCTTCCCCAACTCACCACCCTTTGCTTCCCCAACTCACCACCCTTTGCATCCCCAACTCACCACCCTTTGCTTCCCCAACTCACCACCCTTTGCTTCCCCAACTCACCGCCCTTTGCTTCCCCAACTCACCACCCTTTGCTTCCCCAACTCACCACCCTTTGCTTCCCCAACTCACCACCCTTTGCTTCCCCAACTCACCACCCTTTGCTTCCCCAACTCACCACCCTTTGCTTCCCCAACTCACCGCCCTTTGCTTCCCCAACTCACCGCCCTTTGCTTCCCCAACTCACCACCCTTTGCTTCCCCAACTCACCGCCCTTTGCTTCCCCAACTCACCGCCCTTTGCTTCCCCAACTCACCGCCCTTTGCTTCCCCAACTCACCACCCTTTGCTTCCCCAACTCACCACCCTTTGCATCCCCAACTCACCACCCTTTGCTTCCCCAACTCACCACCCTTTGCATCCCCAACTCACCACCCTTTGCTTCCCCAACTCACCGCCCTTTGCTTCCCCAACTCACCGTCTATCGAACTGTGCCATTATCACATCCCTTCTCTCCACATTCCTGCCACCCATGCCACAACAGCAGACCTTTTACCCACCGCACCCATGTGTCCCTACCTCCCTCCCTGCCCCCACCACACCAGATCTACTACTCGCTGGCGCACGCCAGGAGGGCGAGGAAGCAGTGGGAGGTGGGGCTGATGCGCATAGAGCAGCTGGCGCCCATGGCGGTGGACCATGTAGCACGGGTCATCAACAGCCACTCTGCTGCTGAACTCGTGTGGGCACAGGTGGGTGCTCCTCCCCTTCTTCCCCTCCTCTTGGCTCCCTCTCTTTGCTGCCCTCCACTTGCTCCCCCTCTTTGCTCCTCCTCGGGGTTGATGCGCATAGAGCAGATGGTGCCCATGGCCGTGGACCACATGGCACGGGTCATCAATAGCCATTCCAACGCTGAACTCGTGTGGGCGCAGGTGAGTGCTCCTCCCTCTTCTTTTCCACTCGCTCTGCTCACCCCACACACTCGTGCGGCGGGAGGGTTGCTATTAGGCACTCCATTGCTTCACTCGTGAGGGTACAAGCGCAACCCAGGTATTGTTCTTAGAGTTCACATGTTTCTCCATGTCTCGTATATTTTGTCGTGCCATGCCAATTTATCTAATGTATCGTTACAGGAGGAGCCCAAGAACATGGGAGCATGGCCGTACATCAGGCCACGTGTCTCCACGCTACTGCACAGCCTGTGTCCAGATCACCCTGCCACGTCAGCACCCACGCCCATCCGTTTTGTTGGTCGTGCCCCCTCTGCCTCTCCTGCCACTGGTAGCTTCGCCATCCACCAATCAGAAACCAAAGCCATCATTGATGCTGCACTTGCATGACTGGTAAGGAAAATATGTTAGCATATATTCTGTTTACCTTCATTATATTCAGCTCTTAATAATGTTGGTGATTATTTTGATCTATACCTAGCAGCACAAAGCTTAGACTTCTATACGTCAGCGCTACACTCTGAATGGAACATGTTTGATCAATCTCGAGATTGGCGCGAGCTCATGTGGTTGGCTCGTGCGACTCCTCCTGGCGGACCCAGCGGTCTGCCTGCTGTACAAGAAATGCTGTGGCCGCTACACCACCACGAAACTACTGTAGCTCCGTGCCTTTCATGTCTCCTCACCTCACCAACATCCTTGTTGCTCAAAATTCACTTCATTCGGTAAGGGGAGGTTGCAGAGGATTTCTCTGCATTCGATAACGTTTCAAACGGGTTTTGTGAGAAGCAAATTCCAAGGGCACCAGGTTGGTTTGTTGTAGGCATCGTGGCTGGTCCGTCTTGAGCAATATGCACGGCAAGGTGGTTGTTGGATTCGTTCCCTTCACCTCACGATGTGCATATTCTGCATTCCGTGAAATCACTTGTTTCGCTTCAGATTTAGGGTTTGGTCGCCTAGTACGGACAATCTCTTTTAATTCAGGTGCGATCCGAGGCATTTTCGGGCAGGCTTTGCCGTTTCGAGAGCAGCGACAAGACAAATCCCCGCGCCAGATCTACTGCGGGGATTTCGGAACAGTCCCTACTTTATCAAAGTCCACGCGAATTCCCTTTCTCCATATTAGAATCTTATCGTGTTTCTTACTTTTAGGCTCATCCTCTATTGAAAGCTTGCACATGCTCTGTATTTCTCCCTAGCTCGCACAAGCACTTCTCAATGCATCAGTCAGCTGCGGCCAGCAAGACCGGCAGATACGGTCGATCCCCTTCCGGTTCCCGCGACTCTCCCCTTGCGCCCTCCCGCTCCGACCAGCCCAGCTGGCGCTCCGCCGCCGCCGCCCCTCCCCCGCCCGCGGGGCCAGGAGCGGCGGGAGCAGGCGGAGGGGGGAGCACGGGATGGGGAGACAGCGCGGACGGCGGTAGATCTGCGGGTGGCGCAGCTCCCGGGGGAGCGTGGGCGCGGGGCGGACCGGGGAAGAACGACAACGCTTGGGGAAGGGGAGGTGGCGCTGGCGCGCCTGGCGGAGCCCGCGGGGGACCTGGCGGAAATCCGTGGCACACGGGCGGGGGCGGGGTGGGTGTGTTGACCGGCGCGTGGCAACAGCCGCTGCAGCACCTGCAGCAGCCGGCGCCGCCGCCTCTGTCGCAGCAGCAGGCGCAACTGGACCAGGCGCAAGCGGGGAAGGGCGCGCGAAAAGGGGACGGCGGGGGCGCGCTTGACAGAGCGGGGGAGAGTGCGAATGGGGGGAGCGCGAACGGGGGGAGCGCGGGAGATGCGAGCGTGGGGGCAGCGCGCGCGGGGGGACGGGAATGGATGGTGGCGGTGAGCGCGTGTTTGATTGGGCATGCGGTGGAGGTGCAACTGGTGCAGGGCGACTCGTACTCCGGCATATTCCACGCTGCTAACGAGGAGGACTATGGTGAGTCAGCGTATGCTTCTAACAAGGAAGATTTGGAGAACTAGTGAACCTTCTCCCATGCCCCTAACTCCACTCAACATCCCTCTTATCCCGTGTTCCTAACCGTGTGCCACCAGCTGTGTTGCAGTGGTTCATCCTATACCCAATTTCAATTATTCGCATCTAATTGCACCCACTCTCTCTTTGATGGAAATTCTTAGGAAAGGAATGGATGGCTAACGTCTTTTATGTGTCCTATGGACGTCCAAGTTAACCATATGTACATAAGTTTGCTCTAAGTATCATCATATGTAGGCATGAGCATGGGGCCCCGAAAGCCGGGCCGGGCCAGTTTCAAAACGCTGACCCGGCCCGGTCGGGCCAGTTTCCCCGGCCGGGTTGGGTCGATCCGTGACCCGATCCCTGAAATCGGGCTGGGTCGGGACGGGTCTTGACGCAATAGTGACCCGACCTGGAATTGGGTTAAGAATGCTCTAAATTGGGTCGGGTACTTGCCCGACCCGATTTCTTCGTCATCAACCTGATCTGGGTTATCCTAAGAATGGTAGAATGGTAGATTTCGAACCCTAGCTACAAAGGCATTTACTAGTCGACTATGTATAGAGGCTCAATGTCGAGAGATTTGTAAAAGGTGGGAGCGGGGAGTTGGGTCCTGTAGATTATGTGCGGTAAAGAGTCGTGAGCAATCGCAAATTGGTTGAAATTGTGTTTTTCTAACTCATTTGTTGGGGCGAATGAGTCATAGGCTCAGTACTTTACCTGCAAAATCCCGACCTTCGTAGGCCAGTGAAATGGGCGATCTGCACACATACGCCAACGAAATCGCCGGTTTGCGCAGTTCGGCGGGCGAAATCGCCGATCTGCGCAGATCGGCAAACGAAATCGCCAATATGCGCAGAGCGCGGGCGAAAACGGGTTTTTTTGTACCCGACCCGCCCTCGGGTCGACCTGACCCCTTCAATGCCGGGTCGGGCCAGAGTTTTGGAAGCCTCGGCCCGGTAAGACCAGACCCGACGCGGTACCATCTGGCCCGTTCAAATCATGTCGGGTCGGGGCGAGTTGGGTCGGTTGCTCATGCCTAATCATATGTGCATCTTGTCCATGCAAAAAAACAAACAAACAAACAAACAAAAAAAAGAGGTTTGCGACAACCTATCACATGCATCCTCAAACCCAGACACTATTTCGTTAATGTCATGCATTTCTCCAACTTTTTGGTGTGTCAAACGCACCGTGTGAGGTATGCGTTTGTAACTTGTTGTCGTTTTAGGTAATCAAGATGAGAGGCATCTTTAAGTGTTCTTGTCGTGTAGGCCACTTGAAATGCCTCGATGGCATCGTCGTTCTGCCAGTCATGAAATCCGTCTAGCTCCATAACACAATGTGAACCTGCATCAACCTTCTTGACGATTTCATTTCCTCGTTGCAGTGAGGTGGGTGTACAGGAAATATTATTCGCGTTCCCCTTCTTATCACCATCACAACACATCCCAGAATTGCAAAGGGTTGCATCTGTTGACCAGGTGCGTGCCAGTCTGGACAAGCAAGGTATGAGTCACTTTGTCTGCTTGGGGTGGGAGCTGGTTTGCAAGTGATGGAGAAGGGGGTGACGATAATTGCCGTTGTCTGAATGTTGTTCTCTAGGTTAACGATCAGGGCGCAGTGAAAGAGATTCGAAATGCTCGTGCAAAGCAATCACAGGATACGGTGTCACTGCACTTCCTGCCGCCTATTGGTGATAGTGAGTGACATTGACGTGGCAGCTGCACAAGCCACTTGTGTTGGCTTTCAAGGTGAGTCATGTGGGCAGCTGCCACGTCAATGTCACTCACTATCACCAAGGGGCGGCGACAGGAAGTGCAGTGACACCGTATCTTATGGAAGTTTTGCACGAGCATCTCGAATTTCTTTCACTGCGCCCTGATCGTTAACCTAGAGAACAACATTCAGACGACGACAATTATCGTCACCCCCTGTTCCATCACTTGCAGACCCGCTCCCACCCAAAGCAGACAGAGTGACTCGTTCCTCGCTTGTCAGGGCTACCAGTCCTGTACGCGCCTGGTCAACAAATCCAATCCTTCGCAAGTCTGGGATGTGTTGTGATTGTGATAAAAAAAGAACGCGTAAGGTGTTTCCTGTACATTCACCTCACTACAGCAAGGAAAAGAAAATAGTGCCTGGTTTTGAGGATGCATGTGATAGGCTGTCACAAACCTCAATTTTTCTTTTGTGGTGAAGAGTAGAATATATTGTGTGAGAATCGAAAGAGGAATGAGGAAGAAATGAGAAGAAAGGAGGAAGAAGGGTGGACAAGTATCGAGAATGGAGTTGTCGAGGGGGAAATTGTGGTTCAGAACCAATCTCGATCATTCGCATCCAATTTCAATCAATCGAGAATGGATTGGGCAGCCGGTGCAGTCTGGTTCTTCTTATACCCGATTTCAATCATTTGCATCCAACTGCACCCACTCTTTCTTCGTGTTCCCAACCATACGTCCCCAGCTGTGGTGCTCAGGATGGAGCGGCTGGTGCGATCTCGTTGATCATCTTATACCCAATCGCACCCAATTGCACCGTATCACACGCAATCGCACCCAGTCATTCGCACCCAATTGCATCCAATCGCACCCACTCGCTCGTCGTGCTCCCATCCCAACCCCATGCTTCCAGGCGTGGTGCTCAGGATGGCGCGGCTGGTGCGGCAGGGAACGGGGCCGCAGAGCACAGAGACGCCAGCGGTCAGGGACGCTGCCAGGAAGCCTCCGGTGAAAACGCTGGTGGTTCCAGCTGTCGACCTCGTACAGCTGATCGCCAAGGCAAGCTCGTCATCAAAGCTGCTCCCTCCCCCAAGCTGCTCGTCTCCCCCAAGCTCGCTCCCAACGCTGCAGTATTTTTTCCCCCCCGAGCTCACTCCCTACGCTGCTCTCTCTCCCCCCAATCTCTTTCCCAAGCTCTCTCTGTTCACTGTTTCTCCGTATGACGGAAGCGTAGGGGGCCATGGTGCAAGCTTGAAGGGGCCATTCCCTCATCCCTTCTCTCTCATACCCCCTTTGTCACTCACTCCCTCCTTCCTCGCACACACTCTGTTTGGATCGGACCTGCTCACTCACCTCTCCCACTGCCCTCCCCCCCTCTCCCCTCCGCCCTACCCCCCTCCCCCTTTCCCACACCCTCGCTCACGCACAGGACGTCCCACTGTTCGGATCCGACCTGCTGGCCTCGTCTCTTGCAGCCAACGGGGAAATCAGAACAGACAGCAGCATCGGAAGCATGCTCACCAACGCACGGGGCAGCTGGGGGGGCGCAGGGGGAGGCGCAGGCGGGGAGGGGCGGGAGCTGCAGCGGTGGGCGCCGGAGGGAGGGGAGGAGGGGATGGGTCTGGACGAAGATAGCTACAGAAGCAGCTCCAGGTGGGAAAATGGGGAGAGGGGGGTAGGGAGAGGGAAGAAAGGGAGAGATGAGCATGGAATGTTGTTGTGTGCGTATGAAGGTGTGCTGGGCTGGTTAGAGTGGTGGACATTAGATGGAGGGGAGGAGGGGATGGGACTGGACGAAGATAGCTACAGAAGCAGCTCCAGGTGGGATGGAGGGGAGGGCCGGCAGATCGTAGAGGGTAAAGGGTGAAGATGCTCGCTGGCTGATGTGTGTGTGTGTGCGTTTGGGGGTGTGTCTGTTCCCATCCCCCTTGTCCTCCCCTCCTTCTTTCCCCTCGCCATCCCACTCTCACCCTGTGTGTTGGCAGGGCGTGGGAGGGGCCAGTTTGAGGCGAACCGCAAGCTGTTTGCCTTGGAAACGCCATACGACGAAGCCATATACAGGACTCCTCTACCCCTCCCTCCCTTCCCTTTCCCGACCATCATCTCACCGACCCCCCCTTCCTCTCTCCCGTGCACTGGCAGGGCGTGGGACCAGTTTGAGGTGAACCGCAAGCTGTTCAGCGGTGTGGAGACGCCTATCCCCCTATTACACAACGAGGCCAACTACACAACGCCTATTCCCCTATACCCTCCCTCCCCTTGTTGTCACCATCTCACCCACCCACCCTTGGTCACAGGGCGTGGGACCAGTTTGAGGCAAACCGCAAGTTGTTTGGCGTGGAGACATCATTTGACGAGGCCATCTACACGACTCCGCTGGTGCGGCCGTCCCGGGAGCTGCAGGCGCATGCTGAGCGGATCGCACGGGAGATTGAGTCGCAACCCAGCAGGAACATGCACACTGCTGAGGTGCGTGTTTTGTTGGGGGGTCAAGAAGAGGAAGGGGGGGTTGGGGGGATAAGGTGCGCTTTGTACAAATATACACACTCTCATGCGACCAAATGGGAGTTACAGGTTCATGCTGCGCGGTCACAGCGAGCAGGAACATGTAGACTCTCCTCATTCTCTCATTTGCCGTCCCTCCCTCTCCTCTTTACTCATCGGCCTCTCCTCTCCCTCTCGTATCCCTCTCATCCCCATCGCCCTCCCCACAACCCCCATCAAGAGCGAGGCTTTCATCTGCGGACAGCAACCCATGCACTGGCATCAGCAGTCAAGGCCGCCCTCTCCCTCAGATGACGCATCTGTTGCTGCTCTCCCTCGCATCTGTCGCTCATACCCCTCTCATCCCCATCGCCCTCCCCACAAATCCCCATCAGGAGCGGGGCTTCCATCTGCGCAATGCAGCGCGCACACTGGCATCGGCAGTCAAGGCCGCGCTCGCCTCGGATGACCCATCTGCTGCTGCTGCTGGGGGCCTGGGCGGCAATGCGGACAGTGCGTGGGACGATGATGATGATATTGACGAGGAGACCAAGTACTCTTCGGTCATACGAGCCGCGTGAGTGGCGAGGGCCGAGAGAGGGTCCAGTGTGTATTGCCGAGAGAGGGTCCAGTGTGTATTGCCGAGAGAGGGTCCAGTGTGTATTGCCGAGAGAGGGTCCAGTGTGTATTGCCGAGAGAGGGTCCAGTGTGTATTGCCGAGAGAGGGTCCAGTGTGTATTGCCGAGAGAGGGTCCAGTGTGTATTGCCAAGAGAGGGTCCAGTGTGTATTGCCGAGAGAGGGTCCAGTGTGTATTGCCGAGAGAGGGACCAAATTGATGGCGAAAGGCACCAGCATGAAGAGGACGAACCCCTCCTTGCATGAAGAGGACGAACCCCTCCTTGCATGAAGAGGACGAACCCCTCCTTGCATGAAGAGGACGAACCCCTCCTTGCATGCGTGCGCTTGTGGGCATGATTGAAAATGTATTCGACCTTGTTATTCCCTTTTTTTGTTGGTGACAACAGTTCTCTAACAAAAAAACGTGGTTTTTTTGGAAAATTACCGTAAAAAACGGACCGTTTTTTACAAAAACCGTATTTTTGAACCTTGCATCCATGCACCCATCCATGCACCCATCCATGCACCCATCCATGCACCCATCCATGCACCCATCCATGCACCTATCCATGCGCCCATGCGCCCACGGTCCACCCACACCACGTATGCCCATGTTATCACCCATGCCTTCATGTACCCGAGCGCTGATCTGGACAGCGGAATGGATGATGAGGTGAATGATGCATTCAACACCCTTACCAACAACCAGCACCAACCATATCACCCATACCTCCCGTCCCGTACCACCCACCCATGCACTCATGCCCTGCAGCGCTGATCTGGACAGTGGAATGGACGACGAGGTGGATGATGCACCCTTGCACTCTTACCATACCACACCATCCGTACCACCCACCCATGCACTCATGCCCTGCAGCGCTGATCTGGACAGCGGAATGGACGACGAGGTGGATGATGCCAACGATGAGACCTTCGGTGATGCCGCCCCCACCACCGTGCATGGCACTGTACGTCATTTGGGGGTGGGGGTGGGGCGAAGGGAGAGGCAGGTGAGGGAGAGAAAGGGTGGGTGAATGTGGGCAGCAATTGACGAGTTGGATGATGCCATGCCGACCATGAGACCTTCGGTGATGCCGCCCCCACCACCATGCATGGCACTGTAAGTTACTTGGGGGTGGGCCGAGGGGGAGAAGGAGGTGGGGGAGAGAAGGGTTGGGGTAGAAGTGGTGTTCGTGCGTACGCCCCCCACGGGCCATGCCATCCTGGTGGGGGGGAGTGGGGGACAGATGTGGTGCTGCCGGTGGTGGGGAATTGAGTGAATGTGTGGTTGGTGAATGTGGGGTTGGTGAATGTGAAATTCGTGGTTGCAACACATTTGGCGGTTGATAGGCGTAGGTCAAGGAAGATGCCATATGACACATGTGCCTCACCCTCTGCCCCACATGTGACACATGAAGAGTTGAATTGGCTTTCTCCTTTTCTCTTCTCTCATCCCTGCTGCTGCTCAATTCAACTCTTCATGTTCCTCTCCTCGCTGCGTCTCTATGCAAATTCTCCTTGCGTGTTGCTATCCCCAGGCGCCCCCCTTGCTGCCTACTCCAGGTGTCTCATCTGAATCCGCTGCCAAAAGCGCTCCAGGCGAAAGCCAGAAACAGACAGAAGTTGCCGCCCCAGAAGCTGCAGGCGAGGGCGAGAAACGGACGAAATCTGCCGCCCAAACGACTGCGGGTGGCAGCAGTGACGAGACGGAGAGGGGAGAGAAGGTGAAGCAGGGGAGTAGTGGAACCGAGGAAAAGGAGGAGGAAGGGACAAAGGGAGCAGCAGAGCGCGGGAAAGGGGAGAGGAAGGAGGGCGAGAAAGACGGAAAGGAAGGGAAGAAAGGGAAGGAAGGGAAGGAGGCGAGGGAGGGGAAGGCGGCAGTGGGGGCATCACGGTCATCATCAGCATCATCCACATCGTCTGCCAGTGGTGCCAGTGGCGCCAGCGGTGCTCTCTCCGCCTCTGACCTGCCCTCCATCCCCTCGCACCCGCGCCTGCGCATGCACCCCCGCCGCCTCGTGAAGGTATGGGAACTGGAGACTGGAGATTGAGGGCTGGGGGCTGGGGGCTGGGAAACGGGAATGGGGACTGGAGAAGTGGGAAGAGGAAGTGAGAATTGTGCTCTCTCTGCCTCTCTCGAGGATTGTGCTCTCTCTGCCTCCGACCAGCCCGTTCCACGTGCATGTGGGACCCACACGTTCTCTCTCCTCCTCCCCATGTTTTCCCCACTCCCCCCCCCCCCCAACCCCTCCCCCAGGCGGCATCAGGAGGGCTGTTCCAGGTGCATGGCACTGGCAGCCCATCCCGTCGCTCGCCTCTCATGTCGCCACTGCTCTCCTCCTCCCCCTGTTCCCCCCTCCCCCCTCCTTCAAACCCACCCCCCCCCCCAACCCCTCCCCCAGGCGGCATCAGGAGGGCTGTTCCAGGTGCACGGCACTGGCAGTCCGTCCCGTCGCTCGCCCCTCATGTCACCGCTGCTAACAGACGCCCCCGCCAACCTGCAGGCGCTCAACCTCGACCAGAGCGTGCCTCACTTATCCGATGATGTGTACCGGTAGGTGGGGAGGGGTGGGGAGTGGTGGGGGTGTCGGGTGATGCCTGAAGCATGACCCCGCCAACCTGCAGACGCTCAGCCTCGACCAGAGCGTGCCGCACGTCTCAGATGATGTATACCGGTGGGGGGGAGAGACAGGCGTGGTGTGGTGTGGGTCATGGGGCTGGGTGGGCAGGGTTCGTAAGAGTTGGGTGCGAAAGGGAGTGTGGGAGGGAGGGATGATAAGGATCAATCAGAGCATGGTCCTGCCAACCAACCTGCTGCTGCCAACCAACCTGCTGCTGCCAACCAACCTGCTGCTGCCAACCAACCTGCTGCTGCCAACCAACCTGCTGCTGCCAACCAACCTGCTGCTGCCAACCAACCTGCTGCTGCCAACCAACCTGCTGCTGCCAACCAACCTGCTGCTGCCAACCAACCTGCTGCTGCCAACCAACCTGCTGCTGCCAACCAACGTGCTGCTGCCAACCAACCTGCTGCTGCCAACCAACGTGCTGCTGCCAACCAACGTGCTGCTGCCAACCAACGTGCTGCTGCCAACCAACGTGCTGCTGCCAACCAACGTGCTGCTGCCAACCAACGTGCTGCTGCCAACCAACGTGCTGCTGCCAACCAACGTGCTGCTGCCAACCAACGTGCTGCTGCCAACCAACGTGCTGCTGCCAACCAACGTGCTGCTGCCAACCAACGTGCTGCTGCCAACCAACGTGCTGCTGCCAACCAACGTGCTGCTGCCAACCAACGTGCTGCTGCCAACCAACGTGCTGCTGCCAACCAACGTGCTGCTGCCAACCAACGTGCTGCTGCCAACCAACGTGCTGCTGCCAACCAACGTGCTGCAGGCCCTTCCTTACAAGCTGAGTGTCGCGCCGCTTCCTTTCCCCCTCCGCCTCCTCCTCACAGCGAGTTCCAGGAGTTCAAGCAGAGGAGCCGGCGCATGCGTGAGGGGGCAACGTTCTAGGGAACAAAGCAAAGTCCCCAACTCACCCCTCCCTGTCACCGCCCCTCACCTCACTCCACCCCTCAACCCTGCCCCCCTCCTTCCAGCGAGTTCCAGGAGTTCAAGCAGAGGAGCCGGCGCATGCGCGACGAGGCGGAGGGGGTGCGCTCGTGCAGTGACCTGCTGGGCAAGGTGCGCGGTGTGTGCAAGGTTGGAGTTGGGGGGGGGTGTGCAAGGTTGGAGTGTGGGGGAGGGGGGTGTGCAAGGTTGGAGTGTGGGGGTGGGGGGTGTGCTGGAGGGACCGGGAAAGAAGGCATGCTGGGGGACCTGCAGAGAGAGGATGCGCTTTTGCCCATCCTGCCCATCCTGCCCATCCTCTCTGGGCAGAAGGGGTGGGTGTGTGCCCCAATTCTTGACCTGTTGGGCAAGGTGGAGCGGGAGGAGAGGGGAGAGGTGGGAAGAGGGAGGTTTTTATGGTGTGGGACAGGGCACACGCGATATGGTGTGATGAACTGGAGTTTAGTGAGCCACGCTGGTCTAGAGCTAGTGTTTTCGAGCTAGTTCTGTTCTTTTATCTAGTGTGCTTTGAGCTGCTGTGCAGTTCTGTAAGGCAGTGCTGTGTGGTGCTGTGAGATTCTGTGGAGGGCTGTGAGATGCTGTGGGGTGCTGTGAGATGCTGTTGGTACCGTGAATAATTGCTGTGCAGCACATTTATCATGTGCAGATGATCCTTGTGTTGATCCTGCCACCTCCAAGCCTCTTCCGTCTCTGCTACACTCACATTAACTGCTTCTTTTTATTCTTCCCTCTCTCTGTGTGTCCCCCACCCCACTCACTCTGCATACCTGCCTCTGGCTGCTGCTCCTGCTGGATCACTGGCTGGCCAATCCTTGTCTGATTCTGATGGGAATGGCGGCCATATCTCTTCAGCAATTCGATTCGCGTTCACCTGTCTCTTCGTGTGAGTCTCGTTTGACTCTTGTGCCCAGCCACCTCATCAAATGCTCCTGCTCGCTCTACCTTCGACACCTACACGCAGCCACCCTCCCATCTCCTCCCTGTCTCCTATCCCCTCCCTCCTCTTTTGTCCCCACCAACCATACAATACCTCCTCGCCCCTCCTGCCTCCTTGCCTCTGCTGCCTCATAACCTCTACTCCGTCCCTCCTCCTGCCCTTCCCCTCCCCTCCTGCAGGTCGCTCCTCTGGTCGCAACACGCCCACCTACCTAGAGAGCTCCCACTCCTCCCCGGACCTGAAGCCCTTCCTAGCATCTGCAGCTTCAGCACTCCTCTGCTCCTCCTCCTCCGCAGCTGTCTCCTCCGCTGCCGCTCCTGCCACGTCATACCGCTCCCCGTCGCCGTCCAACCTGGCGCGCTCGAACTCGCATTCCGTGGACGCTCCTGCCACGTCAGCGCTGGCTGCCACCTCAGCAGCCAGAGCTCTGGCACCGAAGCCAGCTTCTGGCGAAGCATCAGCAACAGCAGCAACGGCGCCAGGCGAACAGGAAAAGAGCACAGGGAAGGCAGCAGATGGTGGTGTGGGAGCAGGAGGAGGAGGTGAAGGTGGTGAAACAGCAGCAGACTTGCCGAGTGGTGGTACTGGTGGAGTTGGGGCAGCAGCAGGAACGGCAGGGAAGGTGGCAGAGGGTGTGGAAGGAGCAGCAGGCAGCAGCAATGCTCCTGCTGCTACTGCAAGTGGTGCTCCTGCTGCTACTGCAAGTGGTGCTCCTGCTGCTACTGCAAGTGGTGCTCCTGCTGCTACTGCAAGTGGTGCTCCTGCTGCTACTGCAAGTGGTGCTCCTGCTGCTGTGAAGAAATCCACCCTCAATCCAAACGCCAAGGTCTGTATTGACCTTCCTCTCTTTCTCGCATGCTCTCGTCTCACCTTCTCTCTTTCTCCCTGGCTCTCTCCCCTCCCTTACCGTTGGAAGCTCCTTCTCTAGTCCGGTCATCCCTCTCTCCACCCAGCTCCCAACGTTCTCTTTTTCCTTTCTCTCATATTTTCCCAATTCCCCACACATCTGCGCACACACACACCCGTGCACAGTTTGGCCCATGCACATACTTGCTCATTTACAGAACAGCCCACGCATGCGCACACACACACCTTGTCAGATCAGGCCATCTGCGTTTGCCTTTCAAACCCCCTCTCACTTCCCTTCCCTTCCTCCTCGCTCCCTCCCCCCAGGAGTTCAAGTCCAACGCTAAGGTCTCCACACCCACCTTCGCCATACCCGCCTCCCTTTCACCCCCCTATCGCACTCTCTCAACCGCTTCCTATTCCATCTTCTTCCCTTCCCCCACCACTTCCCCCTCTCCCCTCCCCGTCCCTCCCCCCTCCTCAGGAGTTCAAGTCCAACGTCAAGGTCTTCACACCCACCTTCGCCATTTTGAGCTGACTGAAATGACCCCCCCCCCTCCTCCCCATCCCTCCCCACCCCTCCCCACTCCTACCCCCTTCCCCTCCCAGGAGTTCAAGTTCAACCCCAACGCTAAGGTCTTCACACCCACCTTCTCCATACCCGCCTCCCCATCCCCCCCTATCACACTCACTCACCCGCTTCCTATCCCATCTTTTCCCATCCCTTCCCCCTCGCCCCTCCCCGTCCCCCCAGGAGTTCAAGTTCAACCCCAATGCCAAGGTCTTCACACCCACCTTCGCCATGCCCGCCGCTGCTCCTCCCCCTCTCCCCCCGCCCTTCATTCCCGCCTACCCCTCCGCCCTCCCCCCTCAGCCCCGCCCAGACCACCCCTTCCCCTTTCAACCCCTCCCTGGCGCACCCCCCTCCGCCCCTGGCGCCCCCATCCCCTTCCCCGCCCCTATCTACCTCCCCACCCCTCTCCCTCCCCCCTCCCCCGCCCTGTCTTCCCCCATCCCCCCTGCCAACGCCACTGGCGCCCCCACCCCTCCTGCTTCCGCGCTCCCACTCCCCCTACCCTCCCCCGGGTCCGTTCCCCCTGTGGGGCAAGCAGGGGCGGCAGGGCTTATACCTATCCCTGTTTCGTTGCCAGGTGGCATGCCGCCATTGGCTGTGGCGCCCCAGCCTATGTACATGCCGCCCCAGCAGCAGCAACAGCAGCAGCAGGCGTTGTTCTCTCAGCAAGGATTCACAGGAGGGGGTAGTGGGGGGAAGGAAGGGGGAACGCAAGGGGAAGGCGGGAGTGATGGTGGGGAGTTTGGGGGGAGTGGAGTGGGGGGGGGAATGCAGGGGCAAGGTGACGGGCAGGGTGCAGGGACAGCAGCAGGACAAGTGCAGAACCAGAACCAAAATCAGAATCAAATCCAAAATCAGAATCAAAACCAAAATCAGAATCAGAATCAGAATTATAATCATCACTACCAGCAGCAGCAGCAGCAGCAGCAGCTGCTGCAACATCAGGCACACCAGCCAAGGTCAGGGCACCAGCGGCGGCAGCGGCACCATCAGCAGGACAAGCAGCAAAGGCATCGACAGGGAGATGGCGGGGAGTACAGTCAGCAGCAGCACCAGCAGCAGCAGCAGCAGCAACTGCAGCAACAGCAACAACAGCAGCAAGTGCATTATGGGCAACAACAGCAGCAGCAGCAACAGCAGGGGCAGCAGCAGGGAGAGCAGGGGGATGGAAGCTTCTCTGATCAAAATGACATGAACAAGTGGCAGCCGCAGCAGCAGGTTTGTCATCCTAATCTCACCTATGGTAAAAGGCGTAGCCAGCACCACTTCAACTTTCCCGTGTCTCATTGTTTTCGTTCTCCGTTTTTTTTTCTTCTTCTTCTTCTTCCCTCACTTGTTGGAGTAAGCCTAGCCTTTGTTCAATCATTGCTTCTTTCCTTGCATCCGCCCTCCCTTGCTTCTCCACTGCCCCCTCTGCCCCCTCTCCCTCCCACCAGCCATCAGCAGCTTTCATGCCCATGCCACCCCAGGGCATGCCGCCACAAGGCATGCCAGGCCAAGGCATGCCACCCCAAGGGATGCTGCCGCCTGGAATGCCGCCCGGCATGCCCCCTCCCATGCGCCCCTACCTCCCTGCACCGCACGGCGCCGGCCAGCCCATGCCTGGAGGCGGCATGGCGGGCGGCATGGGCAGCATGCCAATGATGTTCAGCCCGCAGGGGTTTCCCCAGCCCATGATGTATGGGCAGCACGGGCAGCTCATGTACATGCCCATGCCCCAGGTCCGTCCTCTCCCTGTCCTGGCTTTCTCATGTGTAATATGCCCTGTTGCTGTCTTTTCCCCTGTTGCTGTTGGTGTTGTTTGTTTCTCGTGAAGCGTGGCATATATTAGAAGCTTGATATCTGCAATGCTAGGAGTAGGAGGCATGGAAGGTAGGCAGCAAGAGAAAAGGTAGGGGTACAAAGTATAGAGTAGCTTGGAGTGAAGCCTCAATAATGCTCAGTTAGAGTGTTTCACCATCGCTTACCCATGTTTCTCGTGCTGCCCACCCCAGATGATGCCTGCTCCCATGATGGTGCCCTCGCAGCAGCAACAGGACCAGTCACAGCAACAGCAACAGCAGCAGCAGCAGCAGCAGCAGCAAGAGGGCTCACAGCAAGCAAGCACTGACCAGCAACAAGGGCAACAGCAGCAAGACGCAGGGCAGCAGCCGCAACAACAGCAGCAACAACAACAGCAGGCTCCACAGCAGGGAGCACCATTGACGGGAATGGCAGCACAGCAGAAAGGTCCGCCTCAAATGTACCCCATGGGGATGCCCCGAGGTGAGATTGGTGTGGGTAGTTGTTGAGAATTCTCATAAAAAAGCACCTGCAACAGAATGGGCAGCACAGCAGAAAGGTCCGCCTCAAATGTACCCCATGGGGCTGCCCCGAGGTGAGATTGGTGTGGGTAGTTGTTGAGAATTCTCATAAAAAAGCACCTGCAACAGAATGGGCAGCACAGCAGAAAGGTCCCCCTCAAATGTACCCCATGGGGATGCCCCGAGGTGAGCTTGCGAGTGTAGCTGGCTGTAGCACCCTATTGAAGCTGCATCCATGCAGCTGTATCTTCTCCCCGCCTTTTCCTATTAATATTTCAACTCTCGCTCGCCTCAACACTCCTCTCGCTCGCCTCAACACTCCTCTCGCTCGCCTCAACACTCCTCTCGCTCGCCTCAACACTCCTCTCTCTCACCTCAACACTCCTCTCGCTCCCCTCAACACTCCTCTCGCTCTCCTCAATACTCCTCTCGCTCGCCTCAACACTCCTCTCGCTCGCCTCAACACTCCTCTCTCTCGCCTCAACACTCCTCTCTCTCACCTCAACACTCCTCTCTCTCGCCTCAACACTCCTCTCGCTCGCCTCAACACTCCTCTCGCTCGCCTCTACGCTCCTCTCTCTCGACTCAACACTCCTCTCTCTCGCCTCAACACTCCTCTCTCTCACCTCAACACTCCTCTCTCTCACCTCAACACTCCTCTCTCTCACCTTGAACACTATGTTGGAAAAAACGCTCGGGCTTCTACGCGTATCACGTTTATACGAGAACGTATATACGGAAAAACGTGATACGTTCCGTAATCCGCGATACGTTTCGTCGGGCAGCCTGAAAAAAAAAGAGAAAAAAACTGTTGCCGCTGATTCCGCGATCTGCAATTCTGTGAAACCTAATTTTGAGATTCGAAACTCGAATGCCCCCCTCCCCTCCCCTCCACCGCACATCACCTCACACCACCTCCCAAACCCAACCTTCCCTTACGAGCTGCTCGCACGTCGGCGTGAGTACAACAGCGAATCTAATTTGGCTCACGCCAAGTTTACTGCTATTGCTAGCAGCGGCGTCGCGTCACTTGCATTGCAGATCTTAGCAACCGCAATACTAGGACGATTCTAGCCAACAATTTCGTACTGGCGTAAACCCCACGGGAGTTATCCGCATCAAGTATTGCTTAAATTCTTTCCCTGTAAGCATTCTACGTCAACCGAAATGTTTTTCCCCTGCCCTAGAGATTTTTAACCTGCCCGACGCACCGTATTTCGAGGTTTTTTGTACGCTGGAAAATTGCGTATCACGTATGTACGATACCGTATAGTTCGTATGCGTTCCGTACGCCATACGCGTATTTTCCAACATAGCTTTAACACTCCTCTCTCTCACCTCAACACTCCTCTCTCTCACCTCAACACTCCTCTCTCTCACCTCAACACTCCTCTCTCTCACCTCAACACTCCTCTCTCTCACCTCAACACTCCTCTCTCTCGCCTCAACACTCCTCTATCGCTCTTACTTCTCTCTTTCCTCCAGTTGCCCTTCGCCATTCCTTCGTGTGGTAGCATCCCTGGTGCACGAATCTGTCTTGAAATTCTTACCAATACCAAAAAATCAGTGTGAATCATGGTACTCGCACTGTTATAAGGCACAATGATGCAATGTGACACGGCTCAATTGGTGTGACGTAAGACCAATCTGATGTAAGCTCAATCCGAGGCCCCTCGGCCCTGCCTTCATGTTTCACCTCAACCATCTGCCCCCTTTCCAATCTTCTCTTCCACTCGCTCCCTGCCTCCCTCTCATACTCATCTACCCACTCTCCCCTTTCCTCCTCAGGCCTCACTTCCCCACCAAAATATTATTGTCAGAAGTGAAACCCACCATCTGTTCCTGTTTTGAATTCTCAGAAGACCAAAGTCTAATCTCCAATGTGAACCCCACCATACTCGTTGTCTTGTGTATTCTCCCACCCCGCTTTCCCACCAGGCCCTGTGATGCTACCTCCCCCACACTTCTTCCACCGCCCGCCAAAGGTTCTATTTCTTAGGCACGCCTAAAAACTCATTCCGCATCCTCACCCCGCACCCCTCCTCTTCTACATCCCACTCCCCCTCCCCCAACAAGGCCCTGTGATGCTGCCGCCCCCACACTTCTTCCACCGCCCACCCATGGTTCCCATGCACGGCATGCCGCCCGGCCACATGCCCATGCCGCCCCACCTGGGATCATCACCCCCGGTCATGAGCAACAGCCCCCAGCCGCCTGCCGCCATGCCGCCTGCCCGCTGAGGCGAAGTAGCGGTGGAGGTGGGGGAGTGGGACAGGTGCAGACATGCCGCTTGCGCACATGCACATGCACCGCCGCCATGCCCCCTGCACGGCGAGGCGAAATAGGTTGGAGTTTGGGGGGGGGGAAGAGGGGGACATGAAATACAAGCATGATGCCACCCACCCAGATGCCAATCTCCAATCTCGCCCCACCTGGGGCTTGTCTCTCCCTATCATGTGCATGTGGTGCATGTGGTGCATGTGGTGCATGTGGTGCATGTGGTGTATGTGGTGTATGTGCTGTATGTGCTGTATGCGGTCCCTGCCAGCGCATGTAAGCTTCCACCTTCCCATGTCATGAACAGCAGGGTTGTTGCCAGCAGAAGAGTTTCTGTCTGTGTTCTATAGATTGGGGAATGTATTGATATGGTACAAGGATTGTATTTGCAATATATGCAATACACTTTCTGCTATGCTTTAACAAGTAGGAAGTAATATTTCCGTCATCAAAGTATCAGGAGATCGTGGTGCAGCAGTAAACTTCAACGCGCCAGCCGCAGGAGTTGTGGCAACACCACAACGAGAGAAGCAGTCCGCTGCCTTCTTCTGTGCGCCGGGAGGAACAGCTGATGCTGGGGGCAGTGTCGTTGTTGGTTGCCGTGCCGCTCCTGCTAGGTGCTGCCTGCCCTGAAGGCAGCAGGGCAATGGCGTTTGCAGGAATAGCTGAGGAAGAATGCTCACCCTAGGAATGTAGGGTGATGTGGGGGAGCGCATGGCAAAGGATGCCATGTGCTGAATACGAGTGAGAACTTGGAAATGGGACAAGTTCTTTTCGCGCACCATGTGAAAAGTGAGCTCGGTGAGACACATCTTATTGGTGAAGTACAATCCATACAGCTGAACATCTTGATATGTCTACGAGAAACATTACTAGCAACGATTGGCCAAGTTATTATGGTCGGTGCTGGCATCACCTGAGTACTACACTGCAATGTAAACCAGCAAGGACAACGGCTAGTTTCGCGCCTTGTATGAAAGTGGCCATTCACATCATTGAGCCACCCTGTTATTCGGAGATCCCGCGACGCCATCCGGGCTCGTGCGCGTTACGCCTTCCACGCGGCCTTGGCGCTCTGCGCCTTGCCAAGGGCGGACGCGAGCAGGCTCTTGTCGGCACCTCCGGCGGGGAGCATGATGCTCACACCGTTGATGGTGGCGATCGAGTTGTCGATCTGCCCCGCCACCAGCGTGCGCTGCCCAGTGCGAATCAGAATGGCGGCGTTGCGCAGCGCCGCCGCCGTGTCCGTGAGGCTCTTGACGTACGTCTTGACGGAGAGCTTCGCCTTGGCGCTGTCCACGTCCACCGCCGCCGCATCCAGCAGCGATACCACCTTCGAGTCCGACCCGCTCAGCTTCACCGCCGGCTTCCCCGCGCCGGGCGTGCCGGGCTTGCCGGGAGTGGCGGGCTTGCCAGGAGTGGCGGGGGTTGTGGGAGTGGGGGGAGTCTTCTTGCCGCCCTTCTTGTTGGGAGTGGTGGGAGTGGAAGGCGAGGGAGTGGGAGGAGACTTCTTCGACTTCTTGTCCTCCTTCTTTTTGTCCTCCTTCTTCTTCTTGTCCTTCTTCTTCTTGTCCTTGTCCTCGTCATCATCGTCGTCGTCGAGAATCCTCCTCGTCGCAGCGTCGTCGCTGAGAGCATTTGTGGCGTCGAGCTGAGCCAGATCGCCGGACATGGCAGCGGCAAGCGCGGACGAGGCAGCCTCGGGGACGGCGAGCTCGGCGGAGGCGTTGAGGCAGAGCGACGCCAGGACGAGCGCCACCAGGGGCAGCGCACAGGCTATCGCGGACATTCTCGAGTACGCCATGACTATTCTTCGGAAGCAGGCAGACTATTCGATAAAAGGAACAGGAGCGTTTGAAGGGCTTGCTTTGTGAAGCTGGGTTGAGATGCGATGAGAAATGGAGTTTATGGGCGGAATTTATGGAGAAGAGTTAGCGGGGGGCTGTGGTAGGAGGTGGAGGCTGGGAAGGCATTTCTCAATTCTCGATTGAGATGGATTGTGCGGCTCGGAAATGTGGGGAGGCGACTCTGAGAGGGGGTTGTTCGCTTGCCTGCGAGGCTTGACGGATAGCACGTCGCACACGACCGGGCATACCGTTCAGTGCGACGGGGATGGTTCGGTCGTCCAACTGTGGCGTGGTTCTCGCTGGGTGGTGCTGCTGTGGCAACGAAATAACGTTGGCGAAGAACTGGCTGAGAAACAAGGAAAACAGGAATGAAATGACTAAGGAAAGATTGGGTACAAATACAACCCTAGAAACCCTGTACCCCATATGTGCTACCCCACTATAGCCTACAGCAACTATGTCATATAAATCTGACACACCCCCATAGGCAAAGTGGGGGAGAACAAGGGGTCACAAGACCAGTCAAGCAAAGCAAAGCAAGCTCAGGGTGGATCACAAAGTCACCACACAGTCCGAGCACAAGAGTAGGGCCAGAGGCCAGTTCACATGCAGGAGTACAGACATATATATAAAACTAGACAAACAAGAGCAGGCATATATATATGTCACAGTACAAGTGAAGTCAAGAGGAGAGCAAGTGAGGCAAGACAGGCACAAGACCCAGCTGGGTGCAAAAGCGCTGATGGTCACAAGGCGCGTGTGCCTTGGTGAACACATCAGCAGTGTTGGCCTCAGAGGCCACGTACGCAAGTCGCAACTGACCACGCTGCTGCAGCTCACGAGCAAGGAAGTAGCGGAGAGCAATGTGCTTCGTTCTGTGCTCCAAGCGCTGCTCTCGACACAAGGCCAGCATAGCCTTGTTGTCTACGTACAGCACTGGAGGAGAACGAGGCGGCTCTCCAAGGTCAGTCAGCAGGTAGGTGAGCCAGCGAAGCTCCTGTGCAGCCATGGCCCCGGCGTAGATCTCAGCCTCACAACTGGAGCCGAGAACCGAAGACGAGCGAGTAGACCGCCACGAGACAGAGCCGGAACCAAGGCTGAAGGTGTAACCCTGTGACGACCGCTGCGTAGCCTGGTCGTCAGCCCAAGAAGCGTCCGCGTGGCCGGTAAGGACCACTGGACTCCGCCCTCCAAGCACTAGCCCCATGCCCGACGTGCTGCACAGGTAGCGCAATACCCTCTTCGCTGCAGCCATGTGCTCTGGTCTGTGTCTCCCGGGAGCAACATAGCGAGCAAGAATGCTCAGAGGGTATGCAAGGTCAGGTCGTGTGCAGGTCATCAGGTACATGAGGCAGCCAACAAGCTCTGCATACGGGCCACTCGACTCTACGGACTCATCCGAAGGCAGAGCTGAGAGTGAGTGGCGAGTAGGCAGAGGAGTGGCCTGAGGCGAGGAGTACGTGAAGCCGAAGCGCTGAAGGACCTGCTGCACCATGTGTGACTGAGTCAAGGTAATGGTGCGGCGTGCTCTGTCCCGAGTGATCTGCAAGCCAAGGTAGCTGCGCAGTTCACCCAGGTCTGTGCACGTGTGTCTCTTCAGCAGCTCGGACTTCACGTAGGCGAGTCCAGCAGTGTCCGCTGTGGCAAAGACCAAGTCGTCGACGTACACGAGGATGTAGAACGGCGGCAGGGAAGTGTCGGTGCGAAGAAACAGCGACGGGTCAGCAGTAGAAGGAGCAAACCCAAGAGCCGCAAGCGTAGTCCTCAGTGTGTCGTGCCACTCACGTGGTGCCTGACGGAGACCGTAGACTGGCCGTCGGAGGCTCCACTGGGTGCCAGGAGGGAAAGTCCCAGTGAAGCCAGGTGGACGGCGAAGCCAGATCTCCTCGTGCAGGCTACCCTGCAAGAACGCAGTGCTGAAGTCGAGAGAGTGAAGCTCGTAGTCGCGCTGAGCGGCTATGTGCAGCAGCACCCGAAGAGTAGTCATCTTCGGGGTGGGAGAGAAGGTCTGAAAGTAGTCAACTCCCTGCCGCTGACTGAAGCCACGAGCAACGTACCGTGCCTTGAAGACAGGTGGAGAGCCCGGCGGCCGCTTCACCCTGAAGATCCACATGCCACTGACGATGTTCGCCCCAGGAGGGGGAACCGCGTCAACGTAGGTGCCTGTGGACTTCCAGGAAGCCATCTTTGCATCCATAGCTGCCTGCCACTGAGAGGAGTAGGGACCCTCTACGGCCTCCGCGTAAGAACGCGGAGTCGGGATGTCTAGTGCATCCGGGTCTCCCTCAGGGGCAAGCAGTACAGACGCGAGATGAGGTGAAGCAGCCGCTAGACACTGTAACTCCTCCTGCCTGTCCTCTAGGACGTCCGTGCCAAGAGCACACTCACCCCCGACGGACGGAGGACAGACAGACGCAGACTCAGCAACAAGACTAGCAGCGTAGTCGA